TCTTTTACAGCTGTGGACTGGAAACCGTAGTCCTATCACTCGCACATGTCTCAGGAGGTGATGGTGTTAGTGTCTTCCAAAATGGATAATTTGGCCAGTAAATGTGCTGTATCTCACACATTTACTGAGTCTCGATCGGAATGATAAATTGGTTAGGGTTAATAAACTGGTTAGGAGTTAAATGCCCCTAGTCACTTTTTTAAATCAATTCGTCTCAATATTTTACGATTTTTTATATAACATTTTAATATTTAAAAAAAATGTTATATTTTGGAATTTCCATTTTAAAAATATTTTGTTCCTATTTTCGGCCTGATCCTGGTTGATTATTTCAACATTTTCAGCAAATTGTGTGGCTATCTATAAAGTGTCGTTCAGAGAAACAGCGATTTAATGCGATTCAATACCAAACGACGTTCAGTTGTCGTGGAGTTGACGTTGCAAATTTTAGGTTTGAATTCAGATGCAAGTTTTGAATTAATGTATTTTGACTAAAGACAAATATTATGTCGAACGAGATCGCTGTGGGGTGCTTATCTTTACCTTGCATCGTGAGATGATCTGCTTCTCTGTGTTGCATCGTTTTGCATCGTGAGTTGATCTGCTTCTCTGTGTTGCATCGTGCGTTGATCTGCTTCTCTGTGTTGCATCGTGAGTTGATCTGCTTCTCAATATTTCATCTCCAGTTGACATACCACTGTCAATTACGCATTACGCCGCTGTGCACCGTAAATATATATACTCATGGACATGGTTATATGCGTTTACCACGACATCAAATTAGGCTGTAGCGCTCAGCAAGACGTCATGTGGTGCAGGTATTCATGTGTGGATCACAGCTCCATGCATGACGAAAGAAAGCGAGTTTATGTTACTGTTTTTGTGGAGGAAGTCACGTGTGAGCTGTAAAGCCGATGAAAGTTTTCTATCCACATTTCTCGCTACATTCAGAAGTGAGCCGCAAACTTGCGTGGAGGCCAGCTGCCAGATTGCTAGGTTTTGCCACGGCAACAATCTTTCATCGTGAAACAGATAGCTATTCTTTCATTTGTTAGTTCTTTTAATTCTCTTGTTTTCCATTTCGATCAATAGCTTTCGGTTTGACAATTATTCGATAAGAAATATGTATGAATCGAAATATATTATTATGCTAGTCTCTCATATATTTTTTTTATTACGCTAACGAATTCATTTTTTTACTTTTGCCATGCATTGCTGAAATGTTACTTCAACATATATTGATATTAGTGCCAGGTTATCATCCATATGTTTGCCATAGAAGCCATCAATAAAATTTGGTTGGGAGATCCTGATTGATGCTAAAGTGAAAATTAAATTTCTGTTCCGGCGTCCTACCTCAGATTTCACAAGTGATCGCTCATCCAACTTAACCCCGTACAACATAGCAATTTAAGCTCCCAAATACTGTTCTTCCATGACACATGTAAATAAAATTTTAAATCTCCCTTAATTTATATTGTATTAGCATTTTTAATAATTATAGCCGCGCTCAAGGCGGTCATACCTGCAGCATTTTTGATTGAACCTGCATGGTCTTACGACGCATATCTTCTCATTCATTTCGTTGAGATAGCTGCTCCATCTCTTCGTCTAGCCGTTAGATTTTCGGTCCATGATAATTTAAATTCAAGTGACTTTAATACTTTCGCTTGAAAGGTACACTACTTCCTGCTTGAAAATAATCTTTTTAGCGCATTTTCTCATTTATGGAAAAAAGGCGCTATTGTGCTCGTCATGTCCGTCCGTCTGTCTGTCCGTCCGTGACCACGTTTTCGCCGACGAGAAAATGCGCTCTCTGTCACTCAATGCAGTGAGTACCGAGTTATATTTTTTGCATTAATGTTTCCTACCGTCAAACTGCGTTTTCCCCGTATGCTTGGGCCACTTTCATGCCATTGTTCCAATCTTGTGGCTTCTTTGTGCCATTTGCATTTCGACCTTTACAGCTCGACCGCCTACACGGAGGCAGCGTGCAAGTGTGCCAGGCACTCACTACAGGGTCCGCCATATTTATGGCAACGGATGTTTGCTATATAAAAATAAATTGGTTTCTAGGAGACTTTTCTTATACAATGAAGCTTAATGTCATCTATTAATTCATCTATTTTATATTACAGAAGTCTAAGGTGTCTAAATTTACTATTACTTATGGCAGTAGAAAGACATGCAATTGTAACCCTACAGGCAAAGGGCGAGAGTAATTCAGTCATTGCAAAAGGCTCCAAATTCGTCGTGAAACTGTGTGGAAGGTGGTAAAAAATTCAAGGAAACTGGTGAAACATGCAAGCGACCTGGTCAAGGAAGGAAACGAAGTGTCTGAGGGAGAAGTAAAAACACGAGGGAGAAGTTGAGGAGAAACCCTCGTCGCTCAGCTGCAAAATTGGCTGCAGAAGCAGGAGTCAGTCAGACATCAATGCGTAGCGTCCTCGAAGATGACCCCAAATCCTCCCCTTACAAGATGCAAACAAGGCATGAACTAACAGATCGTCATGAACGAATGAGGCTCGAAAGATGCCAGCACATTCTGGATCTCATTGAATATGGCACGCTGCCCAACTTGGTGTTCAGTGACGAGAAAAAAATTGACATTGAACAAAGCGTTAACCGTCAAAATTACAGAGTTTGGAGTCGGGATGGATCTGTGGCAACCAGAACAGCAACACGACGTCAAAATCCTATGTCCGTGATGGTTTGGGCTGCGGTAACCGCCACTAGGAGGTACCCACTCGTTTTTGTCCCCTCAGGAGTGAAATTGAACTGTCAGCAATACATTACGGACATTTTGGAAGCTGTGTTGTTACCTTGGGCCCGTATCCACTTCAACGGCTCCCCATGGAGTTTTCAACAAGACTCTGCCCTATCACATGGCTTAACCACGACCCAAAACTGGATTAGGGGTCACATCCCAGCGTTCATTAGCAAAAATGAATGGCCCTCAAGAATCCCTGAGTTGAATCCTCTCGCCTTTTCTGTGTGGGCTATTATAGAGAGTAGGGTCTGCAGAACACCTCATGATTCCTTGGATAGTTTGAAGTCTAAATTGACACGAGAATTGAATTGACACGAGAATGGGACTTGATCCCTCAAGAAATGCTGCGTGTCTCCTGTGAAGCTTTCCCGCGTAGATTGGAGGCTGTCATTAAAAATAAGGGTGGTCATATTGAATAAATATGTCTGAGAATTGTTTAGTTACTTCTTGGCTACTAGCTCATCCAATAAAAAAAAAAAATAACTCAGTACTCACTGCACAGAGAGCGCATTTTCTCGTCGACGAAAACTTGAGGTCACGGACAGACAGACGGACATGGCGAGCACAATAGTGCATTTTTTCCATAAATGAGAAAATGCGCTAACAATGCACCTGTTTGTTTCGTTGAGAAATAACAAAAAACATGCGTTGCCATAAATATGGCGGACCCTGCATATTTATACAGAGAAGCCGNCATAAATGAGAAAATTCGCTAACAATGCACCTGTTTGTTTCGTTGAGAAATAACAAAAAACATGCGTTGCCATAAATATGGCGGACCCTGCATATTTATACAGAGAAGCCGATATTTCTTCAGTGTATATTTCTACACTATCTTTATACATGGAAGCCGCGACCGTGAGGTCGATCCAGGCTGCTTGCGTAGTACATTACAAAATTTACGCAATCGTTCCTTATAATTTTCAAATCTTTGAAGCTGTTTGGATTTCATAGTTGTTGTTATTATAATTCTTGCTTTGCAATGAAATGTACATGTCGTCTTGCGTTAATGTAAAGTTTTCCAATCAAATTATTTTTTTCTGTAAAAAACGTAGAAATTTTACAAATTTTTTTCTCGTGAGCGTCACGACGACAAAGCTCCCAATAAAATTGAGTTGTTACCTGCAGTGCCGGGTGTTGCATGCAGTGCTGTGATGCTACACTCTCACCTCATGCGGTGCTGTGATGCTCCACTTTCACGCTATGCTGTGAGCGAGCATGGACACAGCACTTCATAACGTTAAGCTCATTTCTGAATTTTCGCATTTACCGGAGTCTCGTAATGGCTTCGTCTGTTAGTTTCTAAAAACTCATATTTATCGACCGCTTCTTACATTGATGGTTATTGCCTTTACAGCAGCCGGTGCGGAACTTTCGTCATCATATTTAATGTTTTGAACTACTCGACGTCGAGCAGGTGGTTAACATCATCTCATGTTGTGGACGTGCATCATTTACTCTCTATAGATATAGAAATGTACCGACAATCCATTGCTTGTCACATTTTGAGACCATAATTTATTTGTGGTGTGCATGTATTCCCCTCGTGCAGAATAATTAACGTATTTATTTTTAGTTCGTAGGACGAATCTGCGATGTAATGGAAATTTTGTGAGTTCTGTGAGGTATTGAATTCTCATCATGTATTTAATGCATGACAATTATTTTTTTCCGAAGTGATTACATAAATACAAATACATACATGAGTTCCCCAATTATTGGACCTTTCATAATTGGTAACTTTTAACTGTCAAATAGTCTTTGTTATTTGTATAGCAAGGAGGTCAAAAAGCCTGTGCAGCCCTATCACGGTGAAATGTTTACATGTATAATACGTATATCAGAAAGTTGCCGCAAGAAACAACGATTTGATCATGTGCGTGATTCAGCGTGTTGATAATTGTAGTGTTGGTGGCTGCATGTAGCGTCTCGTAAACGTCCATGACGTCTCCAGACACTGACTGGATTGCGATGCATTCACCTCGATAGTGAATCCTGAACTATAGAGCGCTTCACGCGTCAAGCCTTCACACGATCACAAGTGCCTAAAAAATGCGCACAAACCCTTCAAGTTCCTGTGTTGACTGATAGCGTAGCTTTATATATTAAATCCTTCGTAAACGCATATTTTACGAAGGATTACGTAAACATAAAGCACAGATAGCTGTGCTTTATGTTTAGTAAATATGTTTAAAATGCATATGTTCTGATGGGTTTGTTTTCATTGCAGTGTGCTTGCCGCGGCAGCAGAAGAATGTTTTCCTGTACCCGCCTGAGGCCGGCGAGCCCGGCAGGCAAGAGCGCTCGGTGCGCGGGCGGCGGCGCGCTGTTCCTGCAGCAGCGCTGCCAGTCCTCAGACACGCTGCCTCAGGACCAACCTCCTCCTGCACCCAACCCCCACACCCTCGCCCAGCCTGACCTCACCAGCCTCTTTATTGACATCAGGAAGGTGAGCCTCCCCCCCGCAGCCTCTTGCAGCCTCTTCATTGACATCAGGAAGGTGAGCCTCCCCCCCCGCAGCCTCTTTATTGACATCAGGAAGGTGAGTCAAATTGGGTGCAAAAATTCAGCTTCCCGAAGTGAAATTGAGATTATTTTTTGAGATTCGAAATAATTTCGTAGTCGATGTCAGCAAATAATCTTCCCCATCAATCTAAGGGTAAAAAATGCCTCCATGTTTACTAATGTGTCATGAAAGCATATGAAAACAATACGTATAGGTAGATTAACTCATTCTCTCTTCCATTCAGTCTCTATATATATATTTTAGTAATAGTTCTAGTATCGAATTGTGTGATTAAGATCAATTGAGATTCATCTTATTGTGACTTAAGAGGTCATTAAGACTTTTTCTGCTCTTTTTGTTCTGTAAATATTTATCTTCCAAAGCAGTAGCCAGAGACAGCGGTCACATGTCGTAGCGTCGCTGTTGACACGTGTCGTTTGTGTGAGAGCATCGCTCACCAGCTCCACATTTTACCCCAGAATTATTCCCCAACCCAAATTATTTGTCCGCCCATCCCCAGCTAAAATGTTCTTTATCTCTTTTGTACTCTTATGAATGCTCATTATCCTATGATTATTAATCGTTCTTATTTGATTAAGACATTTTCCCGGCCTGCCTACATAAATTCTCTGCATGCTACGCAATGCAATGGTATGTTGCCGCAATGCAATGGTAGGTATTTACCATTAATCTAATGATTAGCCATTTATTAGTAATTTCATGTCACCTGTGCGGTGTAAGGACCTGACGTTGATGTTAACTCCATCATTCCCGTACGCAGGCGCTGTACAGCGACCGTAAAGAGCTGGAGGAGATCGCGTGCTATTACTTCGATGGTCAAGGCAAAGTGATACGTCCTGTGATCACCGTGCTCGTCGCTCGTGCCGTCAACAAACACATCTCTAAACAACACAGGTTAATGAAACTTATCATGTTCAGTTCTGTTCTAATGTAATTAGGAAGTTATTTTTCGGTTTACTAAGTTTAGATAAGTTGACTAAGTTACCACTGACATGTGTGAACTTTTAATGAGACGAAGCATCGAGAGAATATTAAGAGTGGCAGTTTTAAGAATGGCCAAAGAGTCTCTTGACTTCGATACTGTGAGCGCATTTCCAATTTATTTCATTTTTAATAAGCAAAGTTCATCACTTTGTAGCATCGTATAATTAATTATGCATCAAACTTTTATAAAATAAATACGTTTGTAACTTCCGTGTAATGGTTCTCTCATACTAGGTACGGTACGCAATTATAGTTGCCGACTTGCGTGCCGAGGGGCTGACTAATATTCCATTACGGAAGTTGAAGAGAAGGCGCGATATTTCACTCGTTTTTTCACCCTGTACGTAAAAATATGTGCCTTGACAATAGTTGCTATGTAATACCCAAGCATGTATAGCAACAAGCACCTCAATCTTGGGTGATTGAAGAAAAAACTACTGTTATGTTTTAATTAAAATAATGTTTATAAACTCGTACAATCAATAAATAAACAAGCGCGAGTAGGGACATGCTCTAAATACCGTGAAGTTGGCTCCGTGTTATGCGTGAATGTGACGCTGAGCTCACGTTGTTCAGGCTGCTGAGCAGTCAACTGGAGATTGCGAAGGTGACGGAGATGATACACACGGCGTCGCTGCTGCACGACGACGTCCTGGACATGGCGGACACAAGGCGTGGCAAGCCCTCTGCCACGCAGCGATATGGACAGCGCAAGGTAAAGACAAGAGTTCTGTTTATTATGGCTATCCATTCAAATCATGGCATTTATTATAGAATTCAATTCAAATCATGTTTTCTGACCATCAAAGACATGTCATTTATAATAATTATTGCTTTTTCGATCTGGAATCTAGGAACGATCTTGAGCTCAAAACAAGAAAATCTCTTAGAAATGAATTCATAATTGAAAACTTCGCCAATGCTTGCACTAATGTTTCATTTGCATCTTCTGCATTACGTTTCAATAAACAAATTGAAGAATTTCGGTGAAGGCCTGATCCCTACCTACTCATTCATTTTGAAGTTATGGCTAATTTGTAAAGCTCGTGGTCATGCAATCATTTCATTTTTGATTTTCGTTGTTTGTGTGCTGGCCATATGACTCGCTCGCCTGCGTGGCCTTTTTTTCGTTTTCGTTGGAGTTTTCTGACTCTTGCGTCTGCTATTACTGACCATTGCTTTTACTGTGCAGGTATTGACAGACCTCGTGCAGGGCGAGTTTATGCAGTTGGGTTCTAAGGAAAAAGAAGACGAGCGTTTCTCGCACTATCTGGACAAGAGCTTCAAGAAAACCGCTTCTCTTATAGCCAACAGCTGTCAAGCTGTAAGTATGAAGTAGTTTACTTTGATCATATTTACCAAGCGTTGCATCATTCATAACCAAAGCTGACGTCTGATGCAACTATCTGTCTTAGCATCGAACATATGATGCCTTATGTGTATGAAGTGCTCAATGAAGCAGCTGGAATGGATAAGAAGTACAGTATGAGATTTATAGTATGAAGGTGTGTGTGTGTAAGCGATTGACAGACTGACTGATCTAGTTATTGTGGGTTGGATAAATAAGTGGTATTTGATGCGTGGAATAATAGTTAGGAAACATTATTGCACTAAGGAGGCTACGAGGGCAGGAGTGGATGCAAAAAATGTATGGAGGTTGAAAGAGTTTTCAGGAACAGAATGGTTTCAGGTAGAACCAAAAAGCAGAAGATAATTGTTGTGGATGAAGTGATACTGAAAGAAAGCTCACCTAGCTTTCATCGGCATAGGAAAAGCGTATAACCGAGTTAATGGTTATTGTCCCTAATTCTCACCGAAATTTGTATCAATTAAAGTTATGTGATGTTTTTGAAACGCATGTATGTGCATACGCGAGACGAAATATAGATGTGGAGACATGACTGATTTAGGAGCGTGAGAGGTGTTCGACAAGTGTGTATCTTATCTCCGCTTTTATTCAGTCTTTAGACCGAAGAGATGGCTACTAGACTCAGAAGAATAGACGTGTGAGGAGGACACTAAGATGCCATCAAGCTCATGACACAGTGATTATGAGTGAGAACGGGGAGGATCTTAAGAGTATGACAAGGATTTCAATGAGCACTCCAGTTCTGCTGAGATTCTGGTATTTGGGCATGGAACAGCTGAGCATGTGGACTAAGCGTGGCACCTGGACATGGACAAAGTAATAAACGGTTGATGACGGCGATGGGCGCAAATGTTGAAAAATGAAAAAAATAGAAAAGAGAGCGAACTAATATGGGTTAAGGTTGAGTGGATAGAACAAATAGCTTCCAGCTATATGTATGAAAGAGATGACCAAAAATGAATGTATTCATGATGGAATTAGAGGAGAGGACCTAATGTTTTGTGTGTGAGAGTAAATGCCTCCAATGTGAATGTACGGACGTATAAGTCTAATGAAAGTAGACAAGATGTGCGTTTCATGTGTGATGTATGTAAGAGAGAAACTGTGGAACACCTGATGATGGAATGTGAAGCTTATGAGAAGGAAAGACTGGAAATGATGGGAGTGATGCTGGATGAGAGGGGTGAGGGTGTTGGCGTAATATATGTGAGAACAGGAAATTAATTATTAATTAATTAATTGAGAGGATTAATGGATTGCAATGATGGTGAGCCTGTCAATGAGAGTGACTGCAGCCATGACAGAGAGTGGAAAGCGATAGTTGGATAGTGTATGGAGAGTGAGGAAGAGGAGCAGACGAGAGAGAGTTGCAGATTCGGGCTTTTTGTAACGACAAAGGACCGACTTTTTCCTAACAGAGTGGCCAAATAAAAAATAAAAGAGTTGCCTTAATAAAATGACAAAGCGACCTCTTTTCTCAGGTTGCTATCCTGGGTGGCGCGGACAAAATGGTGCAGCAAATGTGCTACCAATATGGCCGTAACGTGGGGATTGCCTTCCAATTGGTGGACGACTTCTTGGACTTCGCGGCCTCTTCGAACATCGTCGGCAAACCCACGGCCGTCGACCTCAGACTCGGCATGGCCACCGCGCCCGTCTTGTTCGCTTGTGAAAAGGTCAAGAACCTTAATTTAATTCTTACGATCAATTTGTTTTGATGTTCTAAAATTTTGGTCTGTTCCTCTGACGCCATAACAGTAACGAAGCGTTTAATTTATTTGCAAATTAACTATTGCCGAAATATATTCGAACTTATCTTTTCATTCGACATCGTTAGAAATTCTTGTGTTCATGCCCGTTATACTTTGCTTTTGATTTTCGTTCATAAAAACCGTATCCTCGTGGTACAAACTCGGGGGAAATGTTTAATGTTACCTCTTGTTGCCAGTTCCCCGAGCTGATCCCGATGATCTTGCGCCGGTTCAGCGAGCCTGGCGACGTGGAGTTTGCCATGGAATGCGTGCACCGCAGCGACGGCCTCCAGCAAACCAAACTCCTGGCAACCCAACACTGCCTACACGCCATCTCCATGCTGCAGCAACTGGCGCCTTCCCAGGAGAAGCTTGCACTCATAGCCATCACTGACAGGGTCATCAACAGGATCAGATAACTGCGTCTCAAAGTTAGGGTTTGTGCACATTTTATTTGAAAATGTCAACACCGAGATCAGATAATGGTGTTCCGCAAACGAACTACTTTGTGCTTACTGCCACTGAGAGTTGTTAGCTCCGAGATCAGATCGTATCAACCTAGGGCTACGAACACAGTCACTGACAGGAAGCATTCTCTGGGGCCAAACTCTCGCTCTAATATGTTTGCAATGACATCTAGTATATCCGATCTTCAGTTAAGCTTAATTTGCGTTTGAAGTTCTCGGTGCACATATCATTTGGTTTCCTTTTTGGTGGGCTTGCAAGTATTTATTCTAACTCATGCTACCTAAATAATATACCTGACAAGATGTCATCTCGGAATTATGTTCACCGATATTCTGTCCATGCATTTGCAGTTCAATATTGCAACTGTTGCAGAAACTGCTGAAAAATAACGTGCGGGTTCTGAAACTTACGCTGACGACGCTGACCTACTGAAGTTAGATTTCTAAGTAAACAAATTAGCTTCATGTTCTTTTTATTATTGTTTAATTTGGCAATTTTTAACCATTCAGCTGGGGAATCGTTTATTTGTCAACGAAGTTGCATAAGAAAATTTTTCCCGAATATTTTTTTTCCCGAATATTTGTATGTATTTCACGCATTTTTTTCGGCAAATGTGCGAAGTACGATGAAATCATGTGAAAGATGAGCAAGTAAGTTATTCGGCTTGTGTTGAGACGAGGACTCTTAAGGAGATTAATTGCGTGCGTTCCAGGTCGAAAAAATTCTTCACTCAGACTTTTGTTGCCGTCACAAGTTTCGATTATTCTATAAGGACGCAGAAGAACGCTTATTTTCCATGTTACTCCAACAGATAGTGATGGGTGTAGAATTTTTTGTGTAGTTTTTATACAACAATGCCACTCGATTTGAGAAGACGAAGTTGATAATTCGCATCAGCTGGCTATTCGTTTCATCACTGCGCTCTGTTGTGAATCGACTCATTTACGTTCTGTTGTGAATCGACTCATTTACTTAAAATTCAAATACTATTTCAGGATTCTCGTATTACCTTCTAATAATGTTTAGTTTACCATAGCTGTGTACTTAACAGGCAATATACGAGATTTACTTTAGTTTTGAAATGCAAAAAAACTTGATTGTTCGGACCAAAAATTGAAATGTCCTCTCCTCGCCGAGCATGATAAAATTTTCTAACTTGACAATTCTCTGTACAATTTTAAAGTGTTTCGCCGGACTCACGATAAGATAATTACTTTGCTAGAATATTTAGACGACCTGCTCGCTATTGCTTGGTGACGTTCATTGTGAGAACGCCAAGCTGAGTCAAGTAGTTGAGCGCAGCAGCTTGTAAATAGTGCACGCAGCGATACTTCCTAGAAACTGTCTTCTGTGACCCACAATGTTAATGACTTACGTGCTGTTTTGTTATGTAGTTTATCAATAACCGACTCTTACGTGAGAATGGGGCTTGTGTGGCCTCTTCAATCACAAGAGAGCTCAGGTCAATATCAGAAAATTTACAAGTTCCATGCCTAGAATTTATGGCAATGCGCTGCAGAGTTCTTCATACTTTGCAGGCGTAGTTTTGTGGGGTATAAATTCATTGCTAATGTGTTCAATAATGCGTCAAGTCGATGTAAATGATGTGGCGCAAGCTAGGCTCATTAGCAGCACATGTTTGACGATTCTCTTTCGTAATGGCGCCGTCATTTTTCGACGTGAACTTTGGTTGTGTTTTGACTATGAAATATTTATCGATCCGAACCTTTATATGACTTATACTCCGACACTCAACTGTCCCTACTACGTAGCGCTTACTTCAGAAATGCTGCCAGAACTTTCATTGCAGCAATGCAAATTGTATACTGCTTCAAATTTAACACGATTTCCGAAGTTAGATCAATTATTAACAGTTCATATTTTTTTAGCTCAAGGAATATCACATAACTTCAACAGAGAATTATCCCAACATGCGTGCAAGTATTAGATATAGTTCAGCAACAATTGGACACGTAATTATTGTTTAAATAGTTTTTATCTTGTTTTTGCTGTAGATTTTTATGCGTTACTCCATTTGTGATTTCACCATTTTTTGACAGCTTACCGATGGTCCGTGTAATTTAGTAGGTAGTCTACCTGCCGTGCGAGTTGTACAGTGAATGCCGTGTCGTGTGTGGGTGTTATGTAGTCGTGGCCCGTCGACCATGGGACTATTTGTACAGTTGTTCTACGAGGAACTTCGCGGGGAAACATATTTCTAATAAAGTATATTCTTCTATGGATAAATTTCAGATACCTCCCATGAGAAGACTTGCTGCTTTCAGGTTCGGAATTATGATATTTCTATAACTCAATTTCTGTACGCAATATTTTGTACATATTGGAAAATCGTACTCATGTTTTTTTTTTATAAAGACGTTGAATGGGTCACTAAAAGAATTTATATTGATAAAAGTTGCCATGATTAACGCAACAGATAATTTTCGAGAAACTGAATATTTAATTTTTAACTGGATGTGTATACAGATTTCTATCAATAAACTTAAATGGAAAGAATCCTTTCAACTATTCATGCAAAAAATTACTCGTACAACATTGATCAAGCAAAGAATAATTTATTTCATTTGTCTAATTATAATAATTATAATATGACAGAAACATGGTTATGCAATTTGTGCACAGAAGCTAGCTACTGCCACAGTAGGCAGCTACGGATAAATGTCTCGCGTCATCAAAAAAGCCCCCGTAAACTGAAATTGAGTATTAATCAAAGCTTTTATGCAATACGCATGAGACACGACATCAAAGAGACTACTCGGGCTCACACCTGTCGTCACTAAATTCACATTTTACCGCCCAGAGTAATTGAGGAGATTAATATAACTGGCGAAAAATAAAAATATACAATTGTGGAGGTAAAAGTCATCACGGAAAATCCATAAGAAAACTTTTAAATTTTACTTGACACACGAAGCATGCAAAGCAACACTAACTGGAATAGCAGCAAGTATAAAATTCATGAATTTGAGAGATAACCGAGCACTAATTACCTTTCAGTATTCCAGATAACGCACAAAAACCGAACCTTGACGGATCGTAATAATTCAATTTATATTCTACTAAGGTCCGATTCTAAATTTAAAAGAAACGTTGGCAAAAAAAATTATGTCAGATGTAAACAGGTGACGAAGAAATCAGCTAATAAATCAGTTCTCATGAGCAGATCCGTGCTCATCAGTGTCACTACTCGAGCTGGAGCTCGAATCAGAGTCACTGTTTGAAGACGAAGAACCTGACATGGAAGAACTTGAACTACCAGATGTCCTGCTCTTGCGTCCAGGATTTAAAAGCTGTTGATGTTCTTGACGAAGCTTCCTGTTTTCTTCTTGTAACTTGATGAGTGACGACTGCAGGCTGTCCAGCAGAACTGAAGGACGAGATGCAATTTTGTGTTCCAAAGTAGCACACCGACTTTCCAAATGTATGATTGCAGTTTTGAGCTCCACCATGGTGCTGTTCATGAGACTTTCCTCATGAGAAGACCGATATAAAGTTTCAAACTCAGCCTGAGAATAAGCATCTAAAAGATCACATTTAAAAGACTCATCTTCGGCAGCTGAAGAAACGTTATTCGAGTCAAAGTTGAAAAATAAATTTGAGTCTTCATGATTATCCATAATGAATTGTGTGCTGTTTTCAGGAGCACGAGGAACTTGTGAGCCAAAAGGTCGGAGCACTGGACAAGGTAATTTTTTAGTGCGCCTTTTCTTTTTCTTCTTGAAGCTGGAACGCTTCTCTCTCCTATGAAGGTGGCTGGGTCTTTTAAAGCGATCGTGGTGGAGGTAACGTGAACTCGGATAGCGTCTGCGGCCAGGGTGTTGGCAATATCGAGTTTCAGTCGCAGTGGACACTTTTAAATCAATTCCTTTAGGTAATTTACTGTGCAAACCAACACTTCTCAACACTTTTATTTGCGCCTCTACACATTTAGGAATTTGTGCATCACCATCAATACTTTTAAAAGATAAATCTTGTCCATTCAGGGATTTTGATGATGGAAGTCCAATTTCTTTGTTGGTTGATGCACCGCAAGATGCCACTGGATTCGAGAGAGTTGGTGGGATTTCTTTGTTGGTTGATGCACCGCAAGATGCCTCTGGATTAGAGAGAGTTGGTGGAATTTCTTTGTTGTTTGATGCGCTGGAAGATGCCACTGGATTCGAGAGAGTTGGTGAGATTTCTTTGTTGGTTGATGCGCTGGAAGATGCCACTGGATTAGAGAGAGTTGGTGGGATTTCTTTGTTGGTTGATGCCACTGAATTAGAGAGAGTTGGTGGGATTACTTTGTAGTTTGATGCGCTGGAAGATGCCATCGAATGGGAGGGACTCTGAGTTGAGTTCGTCATTATTTGTAGTTCGTCATTAGGTGCAGTTTCTGGTACACAGCCATCAGCTGATGAATCCATCTTATAGCTCAGGCCCCAGTCCAGTTATTCTGTAATGGAAGATAAAAATTAATGCTTAACACAAAAAATGAAAAATGCATCAACTGAAATTCCATTTATGAAATCCACATTGAAATAAAATTATTTTGCAAGTGATGCATTAATCTTTGCCACCTCACATGATGTCAGGCAAAACTGGTCATTTCTGTCTTGCCTAAATATCATGCCAATCTTTCATGTTAACAAAAACAAGACAATTCTCTTTAATATCCAAGAAATTGTCCTGGCTGTATGATGGGCCAAATGTACAAATTAGTTAATATCTGCACCAGGTCACACTTGGTTAAATGTATGACTGTATGTACATCATTTTCCACAATTTACTTCTTTGGTTTTCAATGAACAACAGCATTAACTCCAAGATGTAAACATTAATCAAGAATCAACACTGAGTGACCTGGTAATCAAAATCGCTAGGCCTTTTGTATGAAATGTTCTAAAAACTGGTCACATTGTGACAGTTTGGAAAGGAAGTTCCCAAGGTCATTCATCTTCTCAAGTGTATCTTGTATGGAATAATGTTAAAATAAAAATCAGTCAATTAAAATTGACAATTATGCATTACTTTCTAATGATATTTGGATAAATGAAATAATTTTCAATTATAATTTAAAGAGAGGAAAAGAGTGAAGGTCTTCCATCCCTTATCAACATATATTGCAAATTTATTATTAAAAACACATTTTATTCCTATGTACAATGACAAATCCAATTAAACAAATGTATTCTTAAATTATCAATAAATTGCTTGAGTGCAGAACAAAACATGACACAACTCAACTTGACAATTGACAACATTTCTCTGAACAACAAGAGATATAAATTGACAACTTTATGGCTGTTATGTAAAAATTGCATGTAGAAATGAGCCATTTAATTGAATGCAAGAAGCTAAATTAATGATTAAATTAAATGGCAAAGTAGAACAGTCCACAGGAGATAGTTCCACTCTTGTTGTAGCTCAGCTGACCAGGCCTGATGCCATTTCTTAGGAGGGTGGCCACGGACATGAGGCACCCAAACGTGGACAAAATTGTGGCCATCATGGGTAAACCTATGGCAAGAGGTGGAGACAATGGAACAGGAAGAAGGATGGAAAAAGTCTTGGAATGGGTATGTGCAAAAAAAAAAATCGCTAAAAAATTTATGAAGTATAAATGTATACCTATACTTCTTATAAGATAAAAAACAATGCAAATTATTACATAGATATAAATGGTAGATACTTATTTTTTTCAATTTAAGCAGAAAGTGGAGCCAGGTTTTGTCATTTCATAGGCACATTGCCACTTCATATTCATATTATAAACAAACATTCAAAACAAGAAACTGCACAAATCACACAAGAAATTAATAAAGATAAAGTCTTGTAGCAGTTAAAATCATTGTAAGTCATATATATATATACAGTGTTTGGGTGGTATTCTTCACAAACCAGATTGAAGCAGCCTGGCAAATTCACATTCAAATATAGCTCTGACATTGTTTTTGGACTGAGAAGTAAGGCACATAGCCAAGAAAACTATGTAATGTAGAGAGCATGCACATTGCACAAATGGTGTTTCTGAAAATCAAAGTTAAATTCATGGAAGCCTCAATGGATTTACATAGCAAAATTTTCATTCACTTTCTCACTTTCATACCAACGTTTACCAAGGAATTTAAATAATACCAGGGGTAATTTGGGAGCGTTTTTTTTTGTGTCTGGCACCTTAAAAATAGCATATGGAATTTCATTAATCCCATACAATAGCCCTTGGAAAGATGTTTAAAATGAGCCAAAACTTGTTTATGAAATTTTTAATTGGAAGAAGTTATTAACATGTTCAAATTTGGCCCTTATTCCACCATTTGATGTCAACAAATTTTTGCATGTATATACAGTATGCCTATTTTGGGCATGATCATGCTGCTAAACTATTAAATTTGTCATAGAGGTATCAACTCTTGTGTCATTGATGGTAGTTGAATTTTTACCTCTTAAACTCTGCCCTGTTAGACCCACTCCAACCCAGTCATTGCATCAGTTCCCCTTATAAACCTTTTCAGAATTACACATTGTAGTTCCAATATCCCAATGGGAGATACATGATTTCAGTTTCAAAGTTGTAGGTACTTTTCAATCTTCCTTGTATAGGCTCAAGTCTGGAAAATTTGTGACCAGTGCAACCTGACCTTAACCCTAATTGCCACGGGTTTTTCTGTTATGCTACAACCTTGGCTGCAAATGATTTCTGCACTCATTTCTGTCAAATGTCAAGTATTTGTTAGGTTGTTTCCATTTTAAATATGCTGCGCTTATTTTACCAGGCATTAATATAGATTGTTTCCTATCAAATGCAGTCTTCAAACTCACAATTGTGAACTCAAATCCACTTTTAAAATTACGAGAATGAAAGGACCGAATTTCTGGTCTCTAGCAGAGCCATTTCCGTGTACAACAATTCCAACCGCTTAATATTGTGGTGATGCTATTAGTGGTGAGGAGACTGAAAGTTATTCAAGCGTGCGCGTGACTGAAAACATGTTGTTGCCGGGAGGCATCTACCCATATTTTTCACCCAACCATCTTCTCTCTATATACAAATTATTGTTGAAGTAATGTTTACTTATTAATTATTGTTGAATGTATGTTTTCTTTCTGTTCTTTTCAGCTATTGAATTGCTGGATCTTGATTTTACAAATAAAATGGTATATCTCTCATCTCAATGCTGTAGAGCTCTTGAAAATAATAAATAAATAGGGAGATAATTTTTCAAGAAGGCATAGTTTGAAAGTTCATATTGATTTGGGTAGGGGGGAGGGGTTCTGGGTGTTACTTGATTTTCTAACCCCCCCTTTTTTTGCACAATATAATCCAAACCATAATGAAATCAAAAAAATAAATTATTGAATTGCTTTATCTTGATTTTACAAATTAAATGGTGTATCTCTCATCTCAATGCTGTAGAGCTCTTGAAAATAATAAATAAATAGGGAGATAAATTTTTAATAAGGCATAGTTTGAAAGTTTTAATTATTCAGCAGAGCCAAATAAGTAAAATTGATTAGAAAAAAAAAATTAAAATAAATTGCTTGATACTGCAGCCCTAGCCTTCCCATTGCCAATTATGTACTTGTATTGAGGGTGTCATCACACATTCTTAGACTCATTCTTGTCCAGTTTAAGCAAGTAATACGCTATGAATGTTATTTTTTTCTAATATATTCATTTATATAAAATAGTCATTATAGTAATTAATTTCAAAATGGCCTTACGCAAAAAGTATTGCATGCAAATCTATGCCATTTGCTTTGTTGAACACGCCTTGTTTGCGGCTTCAAAATGAGTCAGAATACATTACAGGTAAAGTGAATAATTATCTATAAATTTAATTTTTCTATGCAATTTTTGCACATTTTGTTCAAAATTATTCATTTCATACAATATAATACTGTTTTATGCAAAAATTAGAGCAGACACATTGGCACATGCATGCAGTTTAGTGCATTAGATGAGCCTTTTCTGCTGCTGCACAAAGAGTAACATTTTGCAAGTAAAGCAAATAATAATCTATGAATTAAATTTTTAAAGTAGGCTAAACACACCATATTCCGACACATTAAGGACGTACCAAGAAATGAATGGCTATAAAAAAATCACCGTATGCGCAACACAAGTTCTGATTGCTTTACTTCACTCTCAAAACACCACACTACGTGCCAGCAACAATGAAATGTCACAAACTGTTGCCATGTTTATTTAAAAGCCTTTAGAATTAAAATCTACAAAATCCCTGAATTCCCATGCTGTGTGTGACAAAATTTGGCATATTGTGAGACTAATTCCAACAGCGCTTAAAACTCTTACTAATTCGGAATTCCAACGCCCTGTGTGAGCTGTATCAGAATACGACACAGCTTGGAATGAGCTTAATAAAAAAATTTCAATTTTTCAATTAAGCTTTTAATTAAGAGCTATTAAGCTTTTAATTAAGAAAATTTTAATTTTTCAACACAGCTTGGAACGAGCTGTGTGAGTCCAATTCCAAGCTGTGTCAGAATCAATTTTTATGTATCTAAAACCATCTCTTAACTTAATCATCTATTAATTTATTTACCACTTAAAATCAGCAAATACATGTATACTTAAAGGATTCCTAATATATTCACAGACTTATTTAAAAATCTCAAACCATAATATTCTTTCTACACAAACAGTTTATCACTATTTGGTAGAACAAGGTTAATTATCAACTTTGACACGTGTTTCGATGTTCTCACAAGATGACTTGGACTTTCGCTCTGAGGATCTTAACATTTTCCCACCAGACCTAGCGTTTTGCAGGAATCTGGTGCTGGTGGTGCGCAATAGTATGACGTCACTATTTCAACCATCTATGCATGTGTGAAACTAGGTAAGACAAAGCTTAATATAAAGGAAAAAAATTGAGAAGTGTCGGAATTACCCACGATGTTGGAATATGGTCTGTTTACCCTAGTAATCTTGTACATTTTGTTAAAAAAATGTTAAGTCTATATAATTTTGATATTGCATGGCACAAAAACTAGAGCACGCACATCTACATGCAGTTTGCTATGCTAAATGCTTTTTTCGCAGATCGCAGCTACTGAGCTACTTATTGAGCCTAAAAAACAAAAGAGCCACAATTTTCAATTTTTGACTAAGACACTCTTTACTTTTTACAACACTTCTCTTTAACTTCACTTCTTGTTTGTTTGTTTGTCTGTCTGTCTGTCTGCTACAAATCTTGTGATCAAAATTTAATACACTTCTACTTATCCTATCGATCTGAAATTTTGCCCACTTGTGTAAAGTTGGAGACAATGCATGAATCAAATGTCAAAATAAATGATTTAAAAAATTTTAATTTTTTTTTAATATTAAAAAAAAATTGAAAAAATAATTTTGCCAGCTACAAATCTTATAAGTGATATTTGACACACTTTTACCTGTCTAATTGCTCTGAAATTTTGCACACTTGTGTGACGGTCTCTTATACACATCTAGATGTGTATAAGAGACAGCAGTACAGGTAATAGTCATAGTACAGGTCATAGTCATAGTACAGGTCATAGCCATAGTATAGGTCATAGTCATAGTATAGGTCATAGTCATAGTATAGGTCATAGTCATGCTACAGGTCATAGTCATAGTACAGGTCATAGTCATAGTACAGGTAATAGTCATAGTACGGGTCATATTCATAGTACAGGTCATAGCCATAGTATAGGTCCTGTCTCTTATACACATCTAGATGTGTATAAGAGACAGGTCTCTCTTTGGATCTCAATATTTTCCCACTAGATGGCCAAGACCTAGTGTTTTTGCAGTATTTCGACACGCAAATGTATGACGTCACCATTTCAACCATCAAGGAATGCATGGAACTAAAACAAAGCTTAATATAAAGGAAAAACTAAAGAGGTGACGGAATTACCTACTATGACGGAATGAGAAAATGCAAATCCTGTCAAATTTTTGAAGCCCGAACAAACAATGAAAACATGAAGGTTTGGTTATAAATTTATATCATTATATTGCTGGTCCGCTGGAAACATTATTATGCCAGTGTACTGCGAAATATCCAACACAAAGCTTAAAATGTAATAATTTATATCATACACATTTAAAAAGTAAAAACATGAATCGTGAAGTTGAGCTTACCTTCAAGTCCTTAAGTAACCAGTAGAATGCTCGTTATGGCTTATGGTCATATGATGTAGTGTAGACGTCTCGAGTCTCGACAGCTGAAACACAAGTACGCAAGCCGGAACAAGAACGTTGCAGTCCACCGCTCATGATTCAATCCATGACAAAGTAAAGGAATCAACAAATTATTCACAATAATCACATGGAACCGCTTGCGCTTGCCCAAAACCAAAAGTATTTGCTTCATAAAGATTTGAAGATTAAACATTCTAAATTCTAACATTTCTAAGCTTTCTAATCTTAAGTAGATAAACTACTTTTAAATTAACTTATATTTATATAAGTGATTATTGATGGCTGCCTGTTACTTATAATACTTGTAAATGATCTTCAACTACTAAATACAGCAGCATAAGATTAGTTTGTTTGAATGTCTTTATGCCAATTCTGTTAAATTTTAATCATAAAAAGTTGACGATTTAATATTTTAGCGTCGTTTGTATGTGTGTAGACAGCATGGTCTGACTAAATGGGAATACCCTATCAAGAGGTAGGCGATAAAAGAAAGTACTTCCACTCTAATTAAAAATATCACGTAGTTTCTAATTTCAGCCTTCGGCTGAATTAGCTTCGGTTTCAGCCTCGAAAATATTTGGAAACGTTTTTTAACCTCATCATCTTGGCAACCTGTACTGCGTTGAAGGGTAACTATACTCAGTACTCACCGCAGTGAGTGACAGAGAGCGCATTTTCTCGTCGACGCGACGAAAACATGGTCACGGACAGACAGACGGACATGACGTGCACATTAGCGCCTCTTTTCAATAAATGAGAAAATGCGCTAATAATTACTCTCGGCTAAATAACTACTCGGAGCATAGAAAGAGCATTATTTCGGCAAATCAGCTGAAAGCATTTAGTGAATGGGTAATGAAGAGACAGCTTTTTATAATAATCACAAACGGTGGAACTATACCGATATATACTGAAGTTGTGATGCAACACAAGCGACACCGCACAAGAGTAGGTACAATTGCTGCTCCGCAACTACTGCTTGTGCTTGGAAAGTGATGCTTCACATGGTTGAATCATAGTTCAACCATGGCTGCTTCGTATCTGTGGCTTTGTAACTGCTGCTTCGTAACTGTGGCTTTGCAATAACGGCCTCGAAACCGCTACTTCCTCACTACTGTTCTGCCGCTACCGCTTTGCCACAACTGCCTCGCAACTGCAGCTTCACACATAGAATAGAATAGAATAGAAGCTGTCTCTTATACACATCTAGATGTGTATAAGAGACAGGCCTTACTAGAGTCGAAACCGTGTTACCCTAATCCATCACCACTGAGCACACACAACTTCCGAGTGCACACAACGAGGGGGTAACTCAGCCAAAATGAGCTTACTTCAACTACTGTTCGCAATGTACAAAACAGACTATAAACACTTCCTAAGTGCAAAAAAATAGATAATATAATATAATACAATAAAGTCAACATTTTTGTAATCATTTGGCAATCTAATCACAGTTAAAAAATCTAATAATCTTAAACTAATTCCAAAGAGACCAAACTCTCCATCGTTCACGACTGCCTAGCGCGCGCTATAACGAGGTTAGGAGCAGCTCAACCAATCACGTTGGAGCCACGCCCTGTCTCGTTCCAAGACTACAAACACCACAGCTAGACAAGTTTCCATATTACGGTCGCGAAATAAATATTCGTTTACACATTGCTTAGTCATAAATAAATACATTCAACCATTATTGAATTATATTGTAACGTAATAGATAATATCAAGACTTGAATCTCTTAGTGAAGTTGATCTTCCAAGTCCAGCCAATACTACGTTCTAAAAAAAATTATTTCATAAAATTCGGGTTCCGTCACACACATAAAACATATAAAACATTTATCTTCTCTCCTTTCATTCCACCTGTATGTACGTCCATTCACACCTGGCGCGCCTGCCCTAACACAAAACAGAAGGTCCCCACCTCTATATACCATCATACATACATTCATATTTTGGCATCGCTTTCATCTGATACAGTCTTAGAGAGACCTTTCCCTCCATTCCTTGCTTCCATACCTTCAGCCCATAGTCTTTCACTCGCTCATTTATTTCTCTTTTCCACTCTTTTTCATCCCACTCTATCCCAATCGCACCCCGTACTGTCACCACCCATTCGTCCTTTGACCCAGCGGGCCTCTGGCGCACCCATGCTTCATGCATGCCACACTTATCGCACCACTGCCCGACACTTGCGATTCTACGCGGGTGGGCCGCGATAGCGTCCACAACTTAGTCCTACGCTCCGGCCCTCGATAAGCTTCTCTATTGAGCAGGTCGATTCTTTCCCTCTCTGAGATTGTATCCTCATAGTGCCTATTGTAAAGTCATTAGCGAGTAAAATGTTCTGTATTAACTAGACTTTCATTCCTGTTATAGCCAACACAATAGAAGATCCCGAACCTTCAGGTCTTAATCAAAGATAAACAATAACCAAGCCACCCAGAAAAAGTGGACTTGGACACACATAATGCCTCACCACGACAGCACCATATCAGTTTCGACATGGAACGGACCCTTGCTTGCACAAGTGAGCTGCATGGATTGGCTAATCCTAAGCCATTAATAATTTTATATGATGAGCTGCCTTCCTCTCAATCCCTCTCAGTACCCACATCCGATCTTTAATTTATTTACCAATACCTCTAAGTATATTTTTTGGGTACTACTGTTTACTCAACTGTGACTAACACTTATTACTACCAATAAAGGCGAAATTTGAACCCTATGGTAATTTCGCGACTTCCGAATTGTTTGTTACTTGATTGGTCATCAGTCTGGGCGTCTAAAATCCATCCTGTATCTAAACTTTTGCTTCTCACTCTGAAAATCAGAAAAAGAGAAGTGCTTCTATTCGAATCGCTATTGTTCTCGGTGAGTTTCGTTTATTAATTTCAATCTACACGATATCACTATTATCACAATACCTCACGAGATTGTGGTCAAATTTGATCGACAATTTTTTTTTATTCATTTTGTATGAATTTTTTGATTTTCCAGCATATTTCAATTTAGCTCAGTTACCCCTCAATTTAAATTAAATATCTTTTCCCATACTATTCCACTAATTACCGCTGATAGTTATAAAATATTAACTAAATGCAATATAATAAAATTTTAATTATATTTTTTCATAATTGGGAGCTATTTTTGATATAAAATTGAGCAATATACTTTTTAAGAGTTATTTACATAATTGACATTAATAATGTAACGAGTAATTGAAATCTACATCATCAAGAATTGTGCCAGACTGCAAGGTTCGCGTATTTATTTCGTAATTGTGAACTAACATAAGATTATCGATAGGCTAGCGTAGCAGCAATCCAACGTCTCAGGAGTAGTTATGAATAATACAATCTTATATACATATATTATATACCTCGAATTACATCTTGATTGTACCTTGTATTGCTTTATATCATTGTAGCTGGTGAACTAGAAAAGCGAGGCAAGCTTCTCCGTTTCGTGCTTTCCTCAGTAACTACCGGGACTTTACTGCTTTAATCCGTTACCGCTTTCTATGGAGACTGAATCAAGGAAAAATCCTCGCACCGCTCATCACTCGTTAGAATTTTAGATAAATATATTGCTGTGTTTAATTTAACTCTCCGACTTCCTCTTCCCTGCAGTTTTAGCGGAAGACGAGATGGCGATGAAGAATTGTGACAACGCTCAGTTCACAAGAAAATAAGAGCTTTGTAGGTAATAAGACCATGAACTATATTGTATTAATTAAAGTAAGCTGGCGTTGTTAGAAATCACAGCTAGATTTATATTAAAATTGATCCCAAAAATAGACTTAAAATTATGTAGGGGTCGATTTATAGTTTCCAATATAGTGCAAAAGATTATTCAGACAAACTCACATCCAATGCGCGATGTGACTAAGAAGCTTTGTCGTTAAGTACATCAAGGTTGGTTTCGATACGACGGACTTCAGTGCATAGGGCATTAAAAGATTTGTATTTAATCTCAATTCACCATTCATTTCTAATTGACGAAATTATGTGCGAGTTGGTGGCAGAAATCATACATTTTATCGTTTTAATGGGAAACGGTGAGTTGTAAAATTAGACAGGCCCCTATAGGCCTATACAACATTTATAAAACTGTGTATTTAATCTCGCATGTATTGGATCATAATTAATGAAATTTGGGTTGCATAGATGACTGAAATCACCTATAATAGAATAGAATAGAAGTGTCGGCGTTGAAGAAATAGGCCCATGGCCTGTTGCCGATTCATGAACTTTTCGTGACTTGATTCACATGGGATCCGGCCTTTGGAACCCGATCTTTCCATAGCTGACGATTGATTGAGATAGCTGTTGGACTTATTGCCTGGTCCGTAATTTGCTAGGCATTTTAAGACTGAACATATGCTCCTGCATAGCTTCGTCTGGACTTATTGCCTGGTCCGTAATTTGCTAGGCAATTTAAGACTGAACATATGCTCCTGCATAGCTTCGTCTAGTCTGTTTTTGAAAATGTTCATACTCGGAGCGTCAACGATGCTATCAGGGAGGCTGTTATGACTGAAAATATGACCTAGACTGAAAATATGGCCTATACATTATGATATTTCATAATTACATAATGTAGACTGACAAATGTTACTTGCACATAACATAAAGTTTAAAACTCTCGCCCATGCTGATCACGTCACAAAAACTCCAGCAAGCGCTGCCTTCATAGGTTCGATTACCCGTCCTCTCAACTGATCAATCCAATTATTTATTTGATGATAAAACCTAACAATATTAGTCACTGCAGCCGCAACGTCCGTTTGGCCTTCTTACACTCACGTTCAGACCGAATCGATACTTGTGGTGACTCACCCTCATATACGCTAGTGGGATTAATTACAATAATAAAATGCGCATATATTTCACTGTGAGAATTATTTTATAATGTTGTTTGAATGGGGGACATTAATGATCAAAATGTTAATTTGATGCAAGGAACATTACTAATAAACGTTGATATTGATTGGGAACCTTGCTTCCATCTCTATATACTCAATATCTTGCAGCTCGAAATAAAATTTGCTCTAATATATTTTTCATTAAGTTATAAATGCAAATCTCAAAAGAAACTATTTATCGTGAACAAAAAAACCTCATGGAGTGAAAGCTCCTGTCATTTCTGATTTCTCACTAAACTCTTCAAAAACTTGTCTACCGATCAATAAATAATCTTTGGAATATTAAAATTATTTCTTATCCGGGAATTTACATAAATAACTTTTTTGTTAACATGATGCATATTGCTAATTTCAATATATATTCGAATACGAATGTTTACTACATTCGCGTTATTGGAACATCAGAACTTAGGTGTATTCATCATGTCCGGGAAGTAGGTTGAATAGTTTCACCTATAGTCGTGCTGCAAACATTTTTATGTGCTGATAATTCAATCATTACAATAGTTGAATTTATGTACCCCGTTGGGCAGCGTAAGTGCATTGACTTCTAGTTAATTGATTTTGTTTCTTCGATTTTTATTGAATCGAAAATATATCCTTGTTCTTTGTTTATGAACGATTTCATGTATTTTTGAACTTGCGTAGTTAATTATTTTTTACAAGTATTTCTCAACTTTACTTTGCCAAAGGTTCATAGGTATCAGAATGTTTTTTAATTTCAGCTTAACATGTAACTGAGTTGTAAATCGCAATATATTATTATTAGTTCCCATGAATTCATGAAACCAATTTATGGGAGCAAACAAGAGACTTCACTCACTTCAGCAGTCCCCTTTGGCTTTGCTTTTTCCTCTGCAACTTACAAGAACATTTGTCCTATGTGTAGGCCAGTAATGCAGGATTCAACTGTAATAGCTATTAAGATTCATGGCACTGGCAGATATAATAACCCCCCTAAAATTGTCAACAAAAATGTTCCATCAAGCTGTGACTTGTGTACTTCTTGATAAGTTCTAGTTTGATCATCTCACACTCACAGGCCACAGCTGACAGCTTGTGAAACCCAGGCTGTAGAGTAGGGCCTTTTAGCTCGAGATATCGGCGTCTTTTCAAGCTCTCCATCAGCCACATCAACCTTAAATTGGCGTCCGTGGCCAATCATAAACTATGGCTCAGGCAGCCATGACCGACCATAAACTATAGATTGCATGATCAGCCCCGCTGTCACCGCGCCCATCTTCAGCTTGTTTGATTGCTTGTATAAAGCAATGCGGATTGCGGAAGTTGAAAATTTTATGAAATGACATGTTTGCGAAGTGCAAACCGCGATTTTTTAATCAAACAAAAATTTATGACATTCGAGCCGCGAGATTTCATACCTACTGAAATTATATGATATTAGAGCCGCGATATTTCAGACAAAAATAGGACTTTTCCAGACTAGTATGAAGAGAGGTACTTATGTCGGTCCACCGCCGTGCGGCGGTCCGCGTCCACACTCAGGATGATGTATGTTTTTGGTGAATTTTCCTGCGCATTTTCACTTTTTTTAAGCTATTGCTGTGCACAGTTGGCGCAATGTAACGAAAATTGATTATCTTCGTGCATGTGTTTGTGCAATCCCGGCCATCTTTATTTTAGAAGAAATTTTCTCCAAAGTCATATGGCAACACTGAACACCGTCTTTTTACATTTCGTATGTATAACAGCCGGAGTTTACAATTACCGTACGTTCCGTATCCGACAAGGCGGACAACCGGAAGAGTCAGAAGTATCCCGGACATGTCTTACATTTTATTATTGTGAGTTCGACTCGCGTATATTGTCGACTAAAATAGTAGAGCTATTTTTAGAAGAAATGGTAGACTAAAATAGTAGAACTATTTTAGCTTTCTAAAGTACGGTGCACGGCGCATTTTTTTACCAACGTAGTACGGCACACCGCGCAGGTTGTTAAAATGACAAAATAAATTCCCGCGCACCTGGCACATCTTCCTGACCATGGGTCCGCGGTCTTAACCCTTCGCAAGGCCCCATGCCCTTGGCCCTTGGGCCCCTGTTGCAAGTTGCAATGGTCTAAACTCAACGGTTCGACTCCCATGGTCTCATCACAACTCCCTTTAGAAATGCGTAAAGTTTTGAAATTGATATAAATATATCAATAAATATTTGAACTGGGAAATTCCTTAGTTACTTACGTTGGTTCCAGAATGATATCAATGACGTAAAAAATGACAATTATGACATCGGTTAAGAAGCTTCAGCCATGATCTCAGGCTACTGTTCAAGTTTTTTTAGTTTGTTTCCAAACAAAAGTCAATCAAATTAAGCTAACATTTTGGCGGGACTTTCAAAATTAAATACCTTACGCGCGCCGATGCGGAAAGTGGCTGTCCGCCATTTTGCCAGCATTGTTTACGGTCAAGCGTACTTTGTGCACATACCTACTATAGAAATAAGAACAATGGTCTATTTTTGTTTGAATAACCTGTGAAAAAATTATTTTTTCCTGCAATTTAGGAAACTTTTGTCTAATATTTCAAATTATAACTGGAATAGCCTAGGGATTTGGTATTGACTTAGCAAGAAAATTAAGTGTATCTAAACTGGCAACTAATTCCATGAAATTAGGCAAAAACTACCTTTGAATGAGATAGAAATATCCATGTTTGTGGTATTTTTTCTCTATTTTCAAGGCCTTTAACCAAATTTTTACTAAATAACAAAATTTTGAAAAAATTCTGCCTAATATTTTGAATTTACTTGCCACTTAATAGGTCTGACCGTCTGAGCTGCATTGATGATCAAGTAAACTTAGTCAAGTGTTAAAAGAATATTGCAAGTTGGAGCAGTGACTTGTCTATCAAACTTGTTAATGGAATATTATCTACTACTATATGGCTGTGGCTAATTATCAATTTGAACAGATGGTTTTCCAATCAATGAGGACATTAAATTCTGATGTGTAAGACCATCACCATTTGATTTTGACAGCCTGACAGGAGCTGCATAGGGTAAATGCACCATATTGGGACACTGTGGGTAATTCTGATACCCCTCAACTTTTTCCTTTATATTAAGCTTTTTCTTAGTTCCACGCATGCGTAGATGGTCAAAATGGTGACATCATACTATTGCGCACAAGATTTCCACAGAACACTAGGTCTAGCGGAACATGTTAAGATCCGCAGAGCGAAAGTCCAAGTCAACTAGTGAGAACATCAAAACACATATGAAAGTTGATAGTTGACCTTGCTTTACTAAATAGTGAAAGACTGTTTTTGTAGAAAGAATATTATGGTTTGAGATTTTTAAATAAGTCTGTGAATATATTAGGAAACCTTTAATTATACTTGTATTTGCTGATTTTAAGTGGTAAATAAATTAATAGATGATTGATTTAAGAGACAGTTTTAGACACATTAAAACTAATTCCAACGCGGTGTTGGAATTACAACACACAGCCGTGACAGAGTGTCGTATTCTGACACAGCTCACACAGGGTGTCGGAATTCAAACACAGGGTGTCCGAATTAGGAATTATGATTTTAAAGCGGTGCCGAAATTAGTCTTGCAATATGCTGCATTTTGTCACACACAGTGTCGGAATTCAGCAATTTTTTAGATTTGAATTCTAAAGGCTTTTAAGTAAATATAGCAACAGTTTGTTACGTTTCATCATTGCTGGCGCGTAGTGTGGTGCTGTGATGTAAACCAATCAGAACTCTATTTGCGGCAAACTGTGATCTATTTATAGCCATTTATTTCTTGCCATGTCCTGGAGGTGTCGGAATATGGTGCGTTTACCCTAATTTAGTAAAGATGCCTTAAGAATACCCAAAGACTGAAGATGTTAGTCTCAACCTAAGTGGCTTCTCTTACTCCAAGATCTAGCCTGATTCCTGATTTGAAAATCAAGGAAAAACTCATTTTCACTTGTATATAAAAAATATCAGTAATTGATTATTTCACTCACAAACTATTGGATAAGTTTTCCAAAGATTCAAAGTGGAATTTTTCACTTGATCTTTTAATACATATATATAACTATTGATTTTAACACAAAATCTAGAATAAATGCCCCACTACTGAGCATATTTAGAAAATGAGAAAGTTGTGATTATGTTGCCTCAGTCCTTGGTGTATAAAGTTGTTAACCTGATCTTGTTATATCTCATAAGTGTTGCCAGCTAGACTTGCTGTTTGATGGCATGTATACTTGACAATTGTGTGAAATCAAACTAAACCTAATATTTTTCTGCCTGAAGTCCATCATCCAAAAGGCACCAAGTACATTTATGAATCCTGGATGCATGTTATAATATAGATGAAATTCCTAAAAAGATTGCTTGAAAAACCATTTTTTTGTGCCACTAGACTTGCATACTTGAGCATTTTTTTTACCACTATGAGTCCTATGATATATTTCCATCTTATAAATCTTATGCCTGCCTGATTGATGTCAATTTGAACCTGATGAATCTATGATTCTTTCATCAATATTCACTTATAATAAAATTATGATTGATGTGCAGCTCCTGGTCCTCCCAGTGCTTCTCCCGCCACTGGCGGAGGAGGCACTGGGCCTGGAGGTCCAGGAGGGCCGGCCCGTGCCCTCGCGCCATCACTTCCGCCCACAACTCCTCTCGCAACACAGCCGCAAGGACCTGCCATCACCACTATTGTGCCTCCCCATCAGCCCCCAGGTATTTACATGGTTTTTGTTGTTCTTTTGTGTGATAATGATTTTGTTGCATATATTTCAATTCAAGTTTTGTGTGGGATTTAATCTATTTGGGTTATTTATTTTCTTATACACTGGTAGTCTGTAGAACTTTTTCCATGTTGCCTACAAAGTGGGTTTAATGTATACCACAGGGTAATTATTATAGGCGCTGGCAATACATATGCATTCAGCTTCAAATATTTAAGCACTATTTCAAATAGATTTTACCATACAAGTGACGAATGTAGTGTCAAATTATATATTTTATTAGTTGTAGAAAGGATGATGTCCAAGAATATTCATTAAAAATCTTAAATGTGTATATTTTATATTGATGCAAATGTGGCAGAATAGGCAAATGACTTTTTATAACATTATTATACTATATAACTACAATCTATTAATTTAAAATCTTTCTAGACAATTTATATAAATTAACATAATCGGATGCTTGGATTGCTTATTGAATAAACAAACGCTTCCTGTATTATGGTAGAGCGTATCTTAAAGTGTTCTATATCAAGCTGAAGAATTCATTGTTAGCGTTCCTAAAAATAACATTAAAGAAGTTACACCAGAGTGCTTTTCTTTAGCTCCAGCAATTATCCCCACAAGAAGGGAGCATGGGATCTTACAAAGTTAGACTTTTACTTTTAAGGCTTGAATTGGGAGTGTGGAGACCTCATGTCAGGCTGCTGAATTTATAGTCATACTTTAAAAAAATACAAAGGACACTCCTTCTACAAGGCTAAAACATTTTGAATAAAAAACTATTCTCTGAAAGGTTTACACTAGTAAACATTAATTACTCAAAGACAAAGGAGAGGAATGTTCTAATAGTTGGTGCTCACATATTTTTCCTTCTCTAGTCATGACTCTATTTATGGCATTCTCCTATCTCTGCCTCCTCTTTCTTTTCATATTTTTTGCGCTCTTGATGTTTGCGTCTTTTTGACCAACCCACACTCACTGCCAGCCAACTCTCACCTTATGCCACTCCATCTTTCATAACCTTTATCCTCATCACCTCATTCAAAATAGCTTCCATCATCAGCTGTCTTGCTCTCTTGTGCTGCTCTTTTTACAACACTTCTCTTTAACTTCACTTCTTGTTTGTTTGTCTGTCTGTCTGTCTGCTACAAATCTTATAATCAAAATTTAACACACTTCTTCTTATCCTATCAATATGAAATTTTGCACACTTTCGTAAAGTTGGAGACAATGCAAGAATCAAATGACAAAATAAATGATTTTAAAAGCAAATTTTATTTTTCCATATTAAAAAATTTAAAAAATAATTTTGTCAGCTACAAATCTCATAACTGATATTTGACACACTTTTACCTGTCCAATTGATCCGAAATTTTGCACACTTGTGTGAAGTCGGAGGCAATGTATGAAACAATTGACAGAATAAATAATTTTGAAAAAAATATAAATTAACAAAATTGAAAAATTAATTTTTTAATATTTGTAAATAAAATGAAAAAATTCATTGTACATCTTTAACATTGGAGACACTGGATTCTTTAGAAGTGTTGTCTTTAAAAAGTAATTTTTAAACGTATATTATTCAATCATAAGCTGGTGCTCCATTGTTTCCCTACCATCTCATCACACATAAAACATTCATCCTCCCTCTACTTCCCCATGCATTTACACCCAGCACCCCTATCCGCAAAAAACAATCAGTCCCTAACTCAGTTATTAGCATTCAGACTCCGGCATTGCTTTCCCCATTAGGAGGAATTTGCCAGGAAAAGTAATAAACCAGTGCTGGGCAATAATAATATAATGCAGCAATAATAAAAAAGAGTAGTTATGCTCATTAATGCAGTCCTGCATTAAAATAGATATTTTTATACTGTAGTCAAATGAAGATGAAGTGCAGTAAAAATTGGCCTACTGTTGTTACCACTGAAGTTGTCTTGCTTTAGAACCTAAGATATTGTTTATTATCACTTCAACTAATAAGGTTTCTTTCTTAAAATACTTGATGTATTGTGCTAAAAACATCAATTCTAAAGTTACAAATATGAGCCAGAAATTCTGTAAAAATAATGAAAAATATGGTTATCTCCACTGATAATTAGTTTAGTTCTATTCCTGATGTGATCTACATTGATTGATCTAACGAGCTATGTGTATCCCAGGTGCAACTCAGGCAGCTTTAGCTGTTGGCGACCAGGCCCAGAGCAATGTTGGTGCTGCTGCAGCTGCTCTTCTTCCTCCTGATCTGCCCAGTGAGTCATCAGATGCCTTACTATCCAAAATGTTACGTCTTCATAACTCTGTCAGCCAATCACTGCAGGCTTTTCTAGCTAAACCCACCAATCACAGACGAGGAATTTACCGCTATGGGTACTTGGGCTGCTCTGAACACTTCAGCATTTATTGATAGTATATGTAGTACCCTCAGGTGTCAGGTCTTATTTAATTGTTCATACTAAGTGAACCCGTAACTATTTTTACTACGTTGACAAGGATTGTCTAACTGTATGTAATTACTTACTTACGATTCCCTAATATTGAGCATTTAATTAAATTGTTAGTGATAAAAGTATGTCGTCAATGTTTCAAATAAAGTTGATGTTTTAAACTGTCTTAAGTTCTCTTGTGGTGTCTGTAACTGTTTGAAGCCTATGAATATGTGAACATGGCCTCTGTAGTCTTTAACTGGAGCTCAGTTAATGGTATTTCTCTTTGAGCAGGATTGTGCCTTAATTTCTCATAGATGTATTAACTAAAATTATTCTTTGATAAGTTGAGGTTATGGCAGTTATAATCAAAGTTATCATTTTTGATTACTACTCAAAGTTTTTAGTTTTTGAAACTTGAATTCAAGACCCCCTCATGTGTCGAATGCTGGACCGATTACTACAGGAAACTAATATTTATCAGCGATGCTGTTCTGAATAAATTATGTATGATTCAGAGAAATTCTCACATCTTATTTGGCCAATTATTAACCATGTGTCTGAGGCTTGTCACTATTTGTTTGTTGAAAAAGGATGCAAATATTCGAGCAGAAGTGTGTATGAGGACACTCAATATAATACAAATTTACAATTCATGGTAAAACCTTGATAGATTAGATTACATTCAAGACAAGCGTGTCACGTGTTGCTATGACTATAAGAAAATATCCTTTTGAAAATAGTATTGTGATTTTACTGAGCTTATCATGTTTACTTTCGGCGTGAAATATCTCTAATATGAAGTAGGTATTTTCAAGCAAATACATATGTAAACCTGATTAATGTGTAAAAGTTCAGAGATTTTAAATGTTCGGTTTGATGTCATTTGCTTTCAATGTTGAATGTTCAGGTGAATTTAATGTGCTGTTAAAATGCGTTATTAACCTTACTTTTTGTTCAGCTTTTGTGGCTCCTCGGCGCCCAAACTTGGGCAGAGAAGGTCGACTCATCACACTGCGAGCTAACCACTTCCAAATCTCCATGCCTCGAGGCTACGTGCAGCATTACGACGTCAGTATCCAGCCTGACAAGTGCCCCCGCAAAGTCAACAGGGAGATCATCGAGACTATGGTCCAGTCTTTCCCCAGGATCTTCAGCAACCTCAAAGTGAGCTAATGTTAGAAGAAAGATAATTGGTGTATTACCTAATATTTATATGTATGCATCTCTATTATCCACTTCGTGCCAAGTCTGTAAAGAAATTTGAAGTTTTTGAAAATTGTCTTTATTTTATTGTCATCATAAAGTGTTCAATTCATGGAAATGATTGATATGTTTCAGCCTGTTTTCGACGGCCGCAGCAACCTCTACACTCGTGATCCACTGCCCATCAATGAAAAAATGGAGCTCGAGGTGAGTCTTGCTGCTCATCTTAGGACCTTTCATTAATTTGTTCTTAAAGCTTTGTTGGAAATTACAGTCCACTGTTCATAGTTGTAGTGTGTGTAGGAACTAAAAAAAATTCTTCAGTTCCTATTTCTTAGAGAAATTTTCTGCTCGAGAATCCTATTTAAAGTACCTAGAGGGATTAAATTAGAAAGCATACTGTGAAGCTCCTATATCTTGAAGTCATATTATTTATTTTCACCAAAGCAATTATACTGGTTCAGCAACTGGCTGCCAATCTATGAATCTATGTATCACAGAAGCATACCAGGTCACGGAAAGTTTCATGTTCTGAAATATTAAAATGAAGAGTAATCTAGGAATTGAGCTGGTACATTAGTACCTAGAATGAAGTGGCTATTCATGATGTAATTTTTCACACTTGTGAATTGTTCTACAGGTGACGCTGCCTGGAGACGGGCGGGACCGCGTGTTCAAGGTGGCAATGAAGTGGCTGGCACAAGTGAACCTTTACACGCTCGAAGAGGCGCTTGAAGGTCGTACTCGTACCATCCCCTTCGATGCCATCCAGGTAACACTGGCTCCATCTATGTAGCATTTTTTTTTTTTTGTACGTCTACATGACAATTTTTTCCATCTACACAACTTCCGTTGATTTGTTCTAGGGTTTGAGCTTCTTGGTTTATCAATCGTCTTCCTTCAAAAAAATCAACTCTTAATTATGATGGTCGTTTTGTTATTCAAGAGAAAACTAAGGTAGATTATTTTCTGTGTTTGGTAAGTACGAATGTTTAATTGAGGTTGAATTATATTGAATAGCTTGCCCATGTGCCCACTTTTTACTTGTTTGCTACTAGGAAGCATTTTTTCACATTTCTTACTTCCCAACTCGTCAATATTCTTTAAAAATATTCAAGTAATTTTGTTATTTATATCGTGTGCTTTACTATTTGTCTGTACACATAGGTTTACTTAATGATGATGAGTTATTGGCCATAAAGCCTATAAAGTTGGCTCCGGGCTTCCCTTATTTTATTTACTAATCGTTTAACATTATTTGTTAATTTTACTCATTTTACTCACTATACCATAATTTAATTATGTGTCAGGCTCTGGATGTTGTGATGAGGCATCTTCCTTCTATGACCTACACCCCTGTGGGACGCTCGTTTTTCTCCGCCCCTGATGGCTACTACCATCCCCTGGGAGGAGGACGTGAAGTGTGGTTTGGTTTTCATCAAAGCGTCAGACCATCCCAGTGGAAAATGATGCTCAATATTGACGGTGATTGCAATGATACATGAACATTGTTTCTTAACTTGTCCAAATGCAGCATCAGGATGTCAATATAGTTTGAATACATTTGTTGGCAAGCGATTACATGTTGAATTTTTGTGCAGTATTTGCCGTTACTGCGAATATTAAGGTTTATCTCTTGTACAGATGGGCATTATCAACGTAGGCATCAATTGAATTTTTGCTTGCAGTCTCTGAAGATTTCTCTTATTTGTTTTTATTTGTAATTTATCTCCTAGTATTTATGAAACGTATATCTCATAAACACTAATAATTAAATAAATAAAAAAAATTTCCGTGTAATAAGAAGTTGATGAGTTTTCTCTGTTAATTATTTTGTTTTTCACTACATTTCAGTGTCAGCCACCGCGTTCTACAAGGCTCAGGCTGTTATTGAGTTCATGTGTGAAGTGTTGGATATAAGGGAGATTAATGAACAACGCAAGCCTCTCACCGACTCTCAGAGAGTTAAGTTCACCAAAGAAATCAAAGGCCTGAAAATTGAGATCACTCACTGCGGCACGATGCGCCGCAAATATCGTGTTTGCAACGTGACCCGCCGCCCGGCTCAGATGCAATCATTCCCACTGCAGCTTGAGAATGGGCAGACTGTGGAATGCACTGTTGCCAAGTACTTCTTGGACAAATACAGAATGAGGCTCCGTTTCCCGCACTTGCCGTGCCTGCAGGTTGGGCAGGAACACAAGCACACCTACCTGCCACTGGAGGTCTGCAATATCGTAGCTGGTCAAAGGTGCATCAAAAAGCTCACGGATATGCAGACGAGCACCATGATCAAAGCAACTGCTCGTTCAGCGCCTGATCGTGAAAGAGAGATCAACAATCTTGTGAGGAAAGCGGACTTTAACAACGATCCCTATATGAGGGAGTTTGGGCTGACCATCAGCACCGCCATGATGGAGGTGCGCGGACGTGTTTTGCCTCCGCCTCGTCTGCAGTACGGAGGCCGCACGCGGCAGCAGGCGATGCCGAATCAAGGCGTGTGGGACATGCGCGGCAAGCAGTTCTACACGGGCGTGGAGATTAGGGTGTGGGCTATCGCTTGCTTTGCTCCTCAGCGCACAGTCAAAGAAGACAATTTGCGCAACTTCACGACTCAATTACAGAAGATCAGCAACGACGCCGGTATGCCCATTATTGGGCAGCCATGTTTTTGTAAATACGCCACTGGTCCTGACCAAGTGGAACCCATGTTCCGCTACCTCAAGAACAATTTTGCTGGCCTGCAACTAGTGTGTGTGGTACTACCCGGTAAAACGCCTGTTTATGCAGAAGTGAAGCGCGTTGGTGACACAGTATTGGGAATGGCAACTCAGTGCGTGCAAGCAAAAAATGTTAACAAAACCTCCCCACAAACGCTGTCCAATTTGTGCTTGAAAATAAACGTCAAATTGGGCGGCATCAACTCTATTCTCGTCCCTGGCATTCGACCAAAGGTGTTCAACGAGCCCGTGATATTTTTAGGCGCGGATGTGACGCATCCTCCAGCAGGAGATAACAAAAAGCCCTCCATCGCTGCTGTGGTCGGTAGTATGGATGCTCATCCTTCTCGCTACGCAGCAACTGTCAGGGTACAGCAACATCGCCAGGTCGGAGGCATTAGAGAAGGCAAGGAAGAAGTCATCACTGAATTCTCGTCCATGGTGAAGGAGCTGTTGATTCAGTTCTACAAATGTACGAGATTCAAGCCCAACCGCGTAATTTTGTACCGCGACGGTGTAAGTGAAGGCCAGTTCCAGACGGTGCTGCAGCATGAGCTCACTGCCATGAGGGAGGCGTGCATCAAACTCGAGGCTGACTACAAGCCCGGCATCACTTACATTGCTGTACAAAAGCGCCATCACACGCGGCTTTTCTGCTCCGACAAAAAGGAGCAGAGTGGCAAGTCGGGCAATATTCCGGCCGGTACCACCGTGGACGTTGGCATTACTCACCCCACGGAGTTTGATTTCTACCTTTGCTCTCACCAGGGCATCCAGGGTACGAGTCGCCCTTCGCACTACCATGTTCTGTGGGACGATAATCACTTCGACAGTGATGAGCTCCAATGCCTCACCTACCAGCTCTGCCACACCTACGTACGTTGCACACGTTCAGTGTCTATCCCGGCACCTGCTTACTACGCGCATCTCGTGGCGTTCAGGGCGCGCTACCATCTCGTGGAAAAGGAACACGACAGCGGCGAAGGCTCTCACCAAAGTGGCAACAGCGAAGACCGCACCCCTACTGCCATGGCTAGAGCCGTCACAGTACACAATGATACCAACAAAGTTATGTACTTCGCCTAATCTGAGCATGGCTGGCTCGTTTTGTGACCACATGCGCAACTTTTACAGCAATAGAAACAAATCCCAGCGATGCAGTGTTAGCCCTACCATTGTACTAGACTTGTGCTCTACCTGCAGTGCTGAAATTTGGTTTAGGGCACTGAGCTCGGTGTTTCTCCCTTTCAGCTGTTAATTGATGCAGCTAACAAGTTTCTCCCCCTGTCTTACTGTGGCTGAGTCCAGAAAATATCAGCATTGAAGGCGGCTTATAAGCAAACTGTTGCTTGTGAGTGCGGTATGACGAAGAGAAGTTTCGAGTGTTTATCAGTTGGCCTCAGTACAATACAAAATAAACCTATTTTAAGAACGGAGCTCGATTTTAGCAATTTCTTTGACCATTAGTACAATACCCAAGGAATTCTATTATTATGGAAATAATCTAATTGAAAGCCCTTGTTTATTTGTGTGATTTTAACATCCGATGTAATACCTTGCCTGAAATCTCTGAACTAGTTACAGTATTTCTTCGTCTACGTTATATCTTTTTAACATTGTTTTAAAGTGTCATTTTTAAGACACCGTCGAGGTATCCTTGCCTTGCTAGATCAACCATGGGATAGTTTTAAGATTACATTGATGGCGTTTTTCTTTTTCGTGCTAGCGATTTAATTTGAGTGGATTAGGTACGTGCGCGTGATTGGTGCTTATTTTAATGCAGCTCAGCTCCTTAAACAGCATTTTCTAACGACCCCCAATATTACTAATGCATATACTCCCCTACGAGTGTGCCAACGCAGTCTCTTGCTGCTCATGGAAATGCAGGAGTCATGGAGATGCGCGGCTGTGTTCACTGGCCGTAACCTTTGCTTCATTATTTAATTATTAGAATTGACTCGTCTTCACTGTCTTTTCGGCATCTCAAAACATAGAATTTATTCTCTAAATAAAATTCGCCACCATTTGTTTGCAGGAACATTCCACTTTCACTGAGAGTGGTATGAATATTTTTTGAGGTACTCTCGTCTTTCAATTCTTGTGTACGCGCTTATTACTCTGGTTTTATTGTTGGTTAGAAAATCAACTCCAGTTATTACTATTGCCCAAAATTTAGGATGCTGGAATAGGTTCGAAGATAGGTAGGTGAATACTATTGTGCATTATTATTTGCCAGATACCTTATTACGTCGCAAAAATTGTTAAATGCTGCTTTACATCGCTCTTGAAGAGCTCACCTCGTGTTCGTACCTGACTCAAGTTCCCGACGCTGTATTCTTTGTACAGCGTCAAGTTGCTTCTCTGAGACACACGGCTTGTGTATCGCTTGTGACATTTCTTCCCTACGATATTGCCGAGAGTTGTACTCTTTGTAACTGGCTGGATGTTCAGTCTCCCTGTAGGGAGAGAATGCTGTGCTGTGGTGGCAAAGTGCGGCGTGGGGGCACAGGTGGCGGTGGCGACAATCTTTACTGTGCATTACTCGCCACTGCTCCCTAGCAGTGCGCCAGCGTCTGTGCTGCGCTACTGCCTTTCTTGTTTGAGATTTTTTGCTTGCAGGACTCGGCAGTTCGTAACACTACTTCTCCATCGAACGTCGCAGGTTAGCTGAAAGCTATTGGACCATTCTTTGTTCAATGTACTATAAATTAGCCGTGATCAGTTTTTACACTGAAACTTCTTTAAATTGGTGCGTTATTTCGTTCTCGTTAGAGATTATCTCCGTGCAGCTTTACGCCCCCCAAACTTCACGCAAGCGATGATTATACTGATGTATTATTTAGCTATATGCGCGAGCGGCTTCCTCCTGTTTCTTGATAGGAGGAAGCATTTCCTCCATATTTACCGTCTATTTTCAGGAAATTTTTGCTGCAAAATCTGAGCATAATGACTACGGTCAAATTGTCCTAGTGCCATGAGCCATAAATGTCGGCTTTACTCGATATGAGCTTTACTTTTGACCCTGATACCTGTTTGCGATCAATATTTGTGTATATTTTGACCTTTTTTACTCGATGATTACGCGTGTCGCGCGAGATTTCGATTTTATTAGTGTCAGTTTAAGCAAAAGTGTGTAGGAATATGAAGTTTGTGTGTTATTATTTTGTTGTTAAACGTGGTTTAACCTAACACGTAACCTAGCGCTGCCTTACTGGAGCGCTTCCTTGCATTATGGCAGTCGGCATTGTTTTCTAATCAGGTGTTTTAGTTGGGTGCATACCTGAATTGATGTATTATCGCCAGTAGTGCAGTGATATCACTATTGTTTTCTGGAGTGGTTGCTTTATAAATTAGTTGCAGAATATTTTGATCAGGGTCATTTACTTCGGTATTTTCATCCATTAATTTTAATGTGAGGTCTAAAACTGGTCCCATTTCTCTGAAATTGCTGACAGTTTTCCATTTAAGTTATTGCCATCCGATAGGAACGTTATTATTCTTTTTGAAACGGCACGCTTCTCTTTGTACATCGACAGAAATGTATCGGGGACAATTAATTCGGTGGGAGTGTTTGGAATTGTGCGATGTATCAGTATTTGTGTTGCATAGAATTTTTCCATTATGGTTGAAAAATTTTTACTTTCCTAATTGAAGCTTAATTTTTCACAGCAAAAGCGATGTAGGTTGCATGGCTACTCTGAGCTTTCTCTCGTTTCATAATTTGATTTTGGTGGCTAATCCAATGCAGTTAATTGTTAAGTGCTGGTGCCTAATTTCCATTCATTTCCTGTACGCTCTAGGTTGCACCTTTGAATCTATTTGGTTACTTTAATGCTTCAGATTCTTCAGCAGTCCAGTAAGTCCCGAATTGGAATGATTAGTTCTTGATGTTGGGTTAAAATAGAATAACCATTTCCTTGCTACTATGATAAGTGAACCTAAGTTTGACGACTCCAATTGAATAAATTTGTTTTCAATTCTGCAATTTTGAATCTCAACCTATAACGTGAGTGTTCTGAATAACGCTGCGTTGCAGTCTTCATTTTACACTAGTCTAGACAACCATCAAAGATCTCGTTGACATGATCTTTTCAGGAAGTATATTATGTTTGAAAAGCACCAATCTCATCAAAAAGTTGTGTCAGCGGAAATGACTAATGTGCAGGTCAGTTCTATGCCATGATATATCTGAACTATCGGAAGCTAACTTCGAATTTTCAATTTGCCTTCAGAAAAATTAGTTTCTCCTCAATCCGATTGCGTTCAGCGTATTTTCAGAGCGATTTCCTCACATAGCTACAACACTGACCGGCTCACACGAACAGTTCTTCACACTTGGGAAAGTGAAGTCCTTCATCGCAAATGTTTCAAGTTATCCAAATGATACAACGTAGGGAAAAGGATTTTAGAAATCACGTCAAGATGAATTCATTATCACCAACTGCACCAAAGAAATGAAATAATGTCCGCAATAATACTGCAATAAAGAGACTATTGACAAGTCTAGCAACACTACGCACACAAGAAAAATGGAACCTTGACCGAGATATGACAGAAGGCATACTATTCAAGTTATAAGGCCAGTTATAACTTGAGTGGTAAATATTAGCAAACATCTAAATTTTCAACCAGAGTAAAAAAAAACCCTTAAGATGCAATCAATATAGTGAAGCTTTGATAACATCGCCTCAACACAAAACCGATGTTCCACACTACGAAATGAGCACGCAATTGAGTAGGCAATAGGGAGTGGATCATTCTAGTGCCCAAGTTTCTAAGACACCCAACTGAATGCAAAGACCGAGCACTAAAATGGTTTTTCATACACTCTGAGCACTACTAAGTATCGTGTGTAATACGTCAATAAATAACGACAACAAAGATGGTAACAACAAACTAGCAACATCTCAAACCACCAACGTGCATTATTACTTCAATTTCCAGCAGCAAGGTCAAGACTACTTCAGAATAGAATTAGCTCTGTAGCCTCAATACATTGAGACATTCTTATTGTCAGAAATATTTGTGGTCTCAACTCAGCAGGGATTAGACAGCACCAACAGAAAGTCTGATTTTGAAATTGTAGAACGCGTGGAATATAATTATGAATTGATCAAGTCATGAGAAGATGTCAAGCAAATTTCATAACCTATCCTTCATAAAAGGAAAAAGCCAAAATAAATTTACGCACAAAAATTAGTAAACCCTGAAAAACATCATTTACATTTGGCTTCGTATTTCAAGTTCCCACTAAAATTAGCCACAATTTTAGATCGCGCATAAATTATCCTACACAGATTCTGCAAATAGACAAAGAGCTCCCAAAACATGATCAATTTCTAATTTTATCTATCAACGAACACGAGTACGTTTCATCGTCATTAAATTATCAATTATGGTTTTTTGCAGTAAATGACACTTTGAACAGAGTCCAATCCTAACAGGGCTCCAATTACATCACAATAATTCTGTTGTAATGCAAGTACACGACTGTAAAATTTTTATAATTAATGTTCCTATCAAAGCACAATCAGGAAAAAATTCAGCGCTATCGATGAAACATTAAAGCCTTAGAGATTAATTAGCAACAAAAATCTTAGACAAAGCAAGATATTTACAGTGAGCATTGGGCATCGTCATACTACTTTGGCCCGGGTTTGGATCATCAGCGAAAAAAGCACCAAAAATTTTTTGGTTAAAGCATCACTGATGAATAACTTAGTACCGAAAAGCCAAACACAAGGTATCCCTGATCCTGATGGTCCACCTGAGGCCTCAAACACTATAAGGTATGCCTGACCCAAATGGTCGACCTGAGGCACCAAACACTAGGTATCTCTGACTCCGTTGGCCCATGTAACTAAGGCACTAATCTACCCAACCGAGGCACCAAACACTAGGCATCTCTGACTCTGTTGGCCCACGNGGCACTAGTCCTCCCAACTGAGGCACCAAACACTAGGTATCTCTGACTCCGTTGGCCCATGTAACTAAGGCACTAGTCCTCCCAACTGACGCACCAAACACTAGGTATCTCTGACTGTTGGCCCATGTAACTAAGGCACAAGTCCTCCCAAATGAGGCACCAAAGACTAGGTATCTCTGACTCTGTTGGCCCATGTAACTAAGGCACCAATCCACTAACTGAGGCACCAAACATTAGGTATCTCTGACCCTGTTGGCCCATGTAACTAAGGCACCAATCCACCCAACTGAGCAACCAGACATTAGGTATCTCTGTCTCTGGTGGCCCATGTAATTAAGGCACTAATCCTCCAAACTGAGGCACCAAACATTAGGTATCTCTGAATCTGGTGGCCCATGTAACTAAGGCACTAATCCTCCCAACTGAGCAACCAAACATTAGGAATCTCTAACCCTGATGGTCCAGATGCTGGTGCGCCGCAGCCCCACCGTGGGTCGAGCCACGGTGGTGAAGAGCTGACCGTTCACGGTGACGCGAGGGAGGCGGGCTCTCAGGGCACCCATCGCGGCATCGTCGTGAACCCCAAACAACGATAAGTGCTGCAGCTGCGGCATAGCTGCCAGCATCCTGCCGCACGGGAAATCGTTATAATAACTGTGATCACGACGTAAGCTTTATAACAGACCTTCAAGGTATTCGAGCTTGTTATGTATATTCGAGTTTGGAGAATGCACTCGAACATAATTAAAAAATTACAATGGTGTTTATGAATTCATTCATTAACCTGAGGATTTACATACTTACTTTGGAAAGATAATAGAACGGCAAACAGGAATATTATACTAGAACTTACATTTGTTATTACAGGGTAGTTTAATACTCTAGAACTGCTAACAGTAAAATTACATTAGAAATGTACCTGTTACCAGTAATTCAAGAGAAATATCATACTTGCATAACATAATACACTGGAAGCGCAAACAGAATAAGAAACACTAATTTCCCAGCTGCTTTTAAATTTTTTTATTCTAGTATAAAATGATTTTCATTGAAGATTCAAGGTTAAAATTATATAATGAAAACAGAAAAAGAAACAAAATGAACTATACTGAGAGACAGTATCAACTCAAATTATGGCATTTCAAATTAAATTGATCCTATGTTGGTAAACAATCTAGTTCACCATAAATCAAACTTACTCATAAGTTTCAGCACGTAACCCGTAGCAGCGCGACAAGCCCAGCACCGTGAGTCGTCTTAGTTTGGTGGCGATGGCGTGCAGGCTTTGAGAAGTTATCTCGGTGCAGTCGCTGAGGTCGAGCTCCTTGAGATGATGCAGGCGCATGCACAGCGTACGCACCTCCTCGTCCCGCACCTGCCCACGACGATGACCGGCCATGTTGAGGCTCTCCAGCCGCGGAGATGCCTTCAATACCAGCTCCTGCACACAGTTCTGACTCATGTGTGTCCATGCGACGTTCAAGTGATGAAGTTCTGTGCACCTGTTGCAAAGAAAGAATTAGGAATTGCTTTACAACATTCACACTCCAACTGTTGAAGAAAACCTAAAATCTATATATTTTAAGCTTCATGTGCCTGATAGTATTCTTCAAATTGGTCGTTATAATTTAGGCTGTGTAATTGTTACAAAAATAGCTTCATGCACTTGTTCCAAACAAAGTTAGCTCTAAGGATGTTATAAAGTTAGCTCTGGGCACTCATTGTCCAGGAAGTTATTACAAACAAATGTTCATACTTTGCTAGGAGCGTGCCGAGGCCGTTGGCGCTGACACCAACAGCCATTGAAAGGTTGAGTGTGTCGAGGCTGAGGTTATCACTCAAGTTGATAAACACTTCGTCAGTGAGAGTTAGGAACTCCAGACTGACTTTCTTCAATCTTCTACAAACTGAGAAAAGCTCAGCAAGGGTCTCAGGGGTGCAATCAGCCATGCTCAGGTCAAGGAATATCAAATTGGATCCAATTCTAGGTAAGTAGTTGAGGCTTGGTGAAAACACAGGACCTGTATACATAGAAAAAATTTCATATAAATTTAGCAATTGAAATTTTAATAAAATCCATTTTGAAATTGTATGGGATTTTTTCTAGCAACACATACAAAATACAAAAATAGAAACTGACTTGAGAACTCTAAAATGAAAAATACACTAGGTTATACATTTTTTAGAGGATTTCAAATAAGCAATAAGCAAAATAGGAAAACATATGTTTATCAAATGTTAACAATTTTGTTGCCTTGAGCAAATAAATATCTAATTATTACCAAGCAGACCTGAAATATCAGCCTTGCTGAGTCTAAGATATTTTGCACCCCTGAGGATAATGCGGCCCAGCATTCCAGGTTGCAAATGTCTTCCATTCAGGTCTAAGCGACGCCAAAGTGTGTGGTCCAGCGCAATTGATTTAAATCTGACCAAGGAGCACAGAGAAGAGTTCCAGTGAGAAGAAATGTTATATAAAACATTGAAAAAATGTTTTCATCAAGCCAGTAAATGGAATTGATCGATAAAAACAATTAACTCTTAATAAAAAATCTCAAATTAACAAAAAAAAGTATTCAGATATTGGTAGATGAGTCTTACAATTATAAATAACTAGTTTGCCTTATTGATAATAAAAAATAGTTTTTAATAAAATGAAAATTTCCAAATTATGTATACAAACCTTGTGCAGACTTGTGCACACTTGATTAGTGTGTGCTTGGGCAGCCATTTGAAGATTTGTAAAATATGCTCATCTTGAAGAGTATTGAAAAAATCTGAGAAATATAACAATTTTTTACAGCTTTAGTTTAATGATGATAACAATAAATAAATTTCATTCTAAATAGATTAGAGGATATCTCAAAAATGTTTCAGATCATTAAAAGTATGCAAAACATTCAAAAATAGATAAATTAAAAAACTTGTACTATTTACTTACTAGTGCCATGCTCTCGTATGACTTGTGGTCTTTTGCAAACAAATAATCTAGGATCAATTGGTGGTATTCCCAATATCATTGGATTCAAAAACATTGGTAAATCAGCATCCTCCTGATCATCCATACCCTGGAATAAGATATATTACAAATTTACAAACTTAAGTTAATGCTGTCTTTGATAACAAAAAACCTGAACTTTCTGAAAATTAACATCTAGTTCTAGGTTAATTGAATCAGAATTCAGAATACTAACTAGGTATCATTTCAAGGACACAAACAATATGAATTCAGCTTTGAAAGCAACAAGATTTTCTGTAAAGTACAAATATTTGAAGCAACTGCTGAAGTACCTACTCATTTATTTCAAGTTTCAATTTGGTTATTTTTTTATACAAGATAGAAATTTTGACAGATTTTCAAGTCACATCACTAGGAGGCAGAAACCAGAAGGTATTACTTTAGATTAAGTGCATCCAAAAAAAAGGGTGTTTTTTTTGTTTAATTAGATGTTTTTTGGGGTGTAGATAAAGAATCTGAAATCCGTTTTCGGCAGTCGGCATCGGAAAACCGATTTTTATGTATGCCAATTTTTATATATTTTCTAAGGTAAAATGCAAGTTAAATCTTGGCCCCAATATCTGTGGATTTATAGCATTTTTAATTTAGCCTCGGTGACCTATATTCATATACTCTTGCAACCACGACATTGCAGGCAACCACAACATTGCAACCACCAAACCATGGTTAGGTTAGGTTAGGTTTTTTTTGCCAATTTTTGCCCAATTTTTTTTTACAAATTAGAGCCTCAGGGAAAAAATTGGTTTTCCGATGCCAACCGCCAAAAACGGATTTCAGATTCTTTATCTACACCCCTAAAAACATATAATTAAAACGAAAAAAAACACCCTTTTTTGGCTGCACTTAATCTAAAGTATTGCCAACCAGAAAGTTGGGTTGGTTGATCTAACCTGATCCTAAGATAGAAACTGAGTTGTAATGGAAAGACTCAGTTTCAGACCTGAGACCTTCTCAAGTTTCAACAATATAATAATTACTAACTAACTAAGTGTACTTTACTTTAGTACTTATTATTATATTATACTATGTATTCATTGAAAGATTAGAAAAAGTATATTTTTTATGAAAATATTGCAGGTCACACCATCATACACTTGTACTATGACTCTATGACTACCCATAATCATTTAAATTCTTTTAGAAATCTTGCAGAACTCATTTATCTTCGTTTGATTATAATTATTGTACCTTTGACTAGGTAGAAGTTAGGACTAGGTAGGTAAGGCTACAGTAACAGTGTACAGTCTACAGAGATGCAGAATTTTAATTGCATACAAAAACAAAAGTTTTAAAAGTTACTTACCATTGGCATTGGAGTGTCATCCAGATCTATGTATTCATTGAAAGATTAGAAAAAGTATATTTTTTATGAAAATATTGCAGGTCACACCATCATACACTTGTACTATGACTCTATGACTACCCATAATCATTTAAATTCTTTTAGAAATCTTGCAGAACTCATTTATCTTTGTTTGATTATAATTATTGTAACTTTGACTAGGTAGAAGTTAGGACTAGGTAGGTAAGGCTACAGTAACAGTGTACAGTCTACAGAGATGCAGAATTTTAATTGCATACAAAAACAAAAGTTTTAAAAGTTACTTACCATTGGCATTGGAGTGTCATCCAGAATAGAAATTCCAGAGGTGGGATGAAACTTCATCTCTTCTTTAATGCTAGGGAAGACTTTGACTTTATTCATGGAAGACATTTGGTGATTGACTTGACTTATATTAGCTGAAGAAGAGTTGATTGATGAACTTTCTGCTTTATCTTTTTTCATTCTACTAGACTTTTTATGAGGAATAGTTTCTGCAAATCCATGATTTTGGCAGACGCCTTCAACTTCAAGTTCAGCACATTCTGATCGCACGGAGCTTGACAACTTCGTTTCGCCGGTGTTATTGCAATTAGATACGCAGTTCGATGAATCATCAGCTTTCCGTTTTCTATTTTCTTTATCTTCTTTACATGAATTTGCAGTAGATTTGTTGAGACGTTGGCCTATATTACAGTTCTGCATATTTTCTAATGAAGTTACAGCTAACACCGAAATATAATTGTTCCTATGAGCCGTACGGTTTTTTAAACAATTATCTGAGTCATTTCTGTTTGATTCATAACGGTTAATGGAAGATAGACCTTCAAAAGGTAACTGGACCGTCTTGCTTTCCGACATCTACTTACAAAACTGCAACAGTTAGTTTTAAAGGGTGTCAAACAATATTGAACTCTCTCAGAAGCTTTTTCAACTGCCCGGTTCGGATGGCGTGACTACAGGTGGTCACTGTAAAGTGAATAAGTATGAGATGCTGGGACACCAAAACCGATCGTTCGAATTGGTGATCATTCTGTAATTACATTAATCTGACTATCGAGATAATGTTTAATGTTTTTAAACAAAAGATCTATTTGTGATTGATGTCATAAACCTCTTATTAAAATTTCAGGCATGTATTATTTGATGCTGCATCATTCAGGTATATAACATTTAATAAAATCTTACTTTGAAGGCCAATGAGGGTGAAATCTACATATTATTTTAGTGTTCATACGTATGAAATAACAGGAAAAAAAATTTCGCACGTGTATTCATGTTCGACTTCAAAACCCCAACACAGATGTTTGTGATACGATAGCCTATATGAGCGGGTTCTACGTACTATGAATGTAGGTACTGTCCAAGAGGGAGGTAAACGAAAAGTCTTAACCGTAAGTTGAAAATATTTTAATATAAACACTTGAAATGCTTCTGAGCGCCTGGAAATTGTTTGGATTTATATTATTGTATGCACACTGTCACTGTATAGTGGTAGCTATAATCAATTCCATCATGCCAGGTTGCCAGCTAGGCCTATGGCCCCTATGCAGATTGCAGAAACTGAGATGTCTAAGAGACTGAGAAACGTATCAACTATGGTATAAAGCAATTTAAACTAGCTTTGCATAGATTGCATGATTGTGGTTGCACATTTGCATCATTTAAGCAATTTCAGTGCCAGTAAATGGCAGTAATGGTCCTTACCTTAGCTAGGTATTAATAATTAATACATATTCCAGGCTTATCCAGCCAAGTCGGCATTCCAAATTTTCAATTGCAAATGAAATATTCATCCCATGTCTCAGTGCCAGTGGTCCGGGGTCCCTGCAGTGCCTGCACTAAGTGCACTTTACATCTTGGTAAGTTGGGTACCGTACCTACAGCTATCCAAAACACCCATGCTGTATTTTGTAATTTTGACTATTTTCCAACCCTAACCTGGATTCCTGGAAGGCTCGCATCAATCCCCTACAGTGTGCTTAGTGGATCAAAATTTGGGAGCTCATGCATGACCTTAGGTACTCTGTTTCTACTTTCTACCAAAACTACCTACATTTTTGAGGTTGCATGGCCTACAGGCTCCCAATATACACTTCAGCACTGAGTCTCAATCAATGCTCCTCCACCCGCCGCCTTATACATCAAATCCAGGCTGAAAATCCCCTCAACAGGGACTTCTCCCCCTTCACCCCTCCCTGGCATCCTACACATTTAGGGTCAGACATGCCCCTAGTGCCACCTGCCTGGAGTGCAGGGATCCCCTCCAGTCCGTCCAGCATCTCTTTCCCTGCCTCTCCTTCCCCACGTCCCTCAGCATCTTATTGTGGAGCAGTCCCATGGAGGTGGTGGCATTTTTGGCCACCCTTTGCCCATCTCCCCCTATTCCAGTACCTTCTCCCGGCCTCCTCCCAACGAGCGTGACAGCACAACAAACAACAACAACCTCCCTGCCCATACCACCTTGCGCAAAAACACCCCTGTTGACTGTTCTCACCCAATGGATCCACCTAGACTTCTCCAGCAGCAGCTGCCTCTATCAAGAAGTAGATGGCACTGCATCAGGGATCCTCAAAGACATCTGCAACACTTGATTCAAAGTACACTGCCTTTTTTCACCAATGGCTCCCTCTCAGCAGGACCACCCCAAGCAGTGGGCACTGGACTGGCAATTCCATCTTTATCTATCCAGATATGGCACCTATATATGCTTAGCTATATCCCTGCCACTCAATCATTGCAGCCAACCTGTATGGCATATTCTAAGCCATGAACTTCCTACCAATCAGCTGCATGCTTCTAGCTACCATATGCACAGACAGCCTAGCATCACTTCAATTACTCCTACAATGTTTCCCTCCAGTTACAACATATCATAACATAGCAATGTTGGCGCAGAAGAGTAGGCCTGTGGCCTGTTGCCGATTCTTGTACTTTTTGTGACTAGTTCACAGAAGATCTGTAAGACTAATTTTTCATGCAGAAAGTTCATCCTTGAAGGGCATTTTTTGATAAAGTAGAATGGAATGAACACTGAAAAACCCTCCCAACATTGATGCAGTGAAAAGTACAGCTTCTACCAATCGCAAAATTCAATCATGGTGCAAATCCACAGAAATATGGTAGCTAGGAGAAAGATATATTCCTTGGGGTTAGGCTTATTTTGTACAAAAGATATATTTAAAATTTTTTTCCATTAATTTGTTAAAGAAAGAACCAAAGTTGGAGGGTTGGTTCTGCATGAAATTGAGGCTTCCTCTACTGTACCTCGCGTAGGCACTATTCACGCCAAGACTGCAATAACCTTGCCAGGCTATGGCAACTTTAGTGTACCCTTCACCAAAATTGTAGGTGATTTAAAAGTAAGTACTACCGGTATATATCTCACCACTCCCAACAAAGCTCAAGAACTTCCATTTTATTAAATGATTGAGTAATAAAAGAAATTTAGTGACTTTTTTCTCAAAAGTCTAAATATAAGTCAACCTTGCACAAGTGTTACTTTAAATTTTTTGCTTCTTGGTGTTTGGAAGCCTAATATATTCTAGCGGGATTTTCAAAAGTGGCAACTTATGTGGCACTGATGGTAGATGAATTGCCTCTCATCAAATTGTTGGCAATAGTGTATGATAGGACCGTGGGTTCCAAATGTCTTGAAAATTGATCAGTAATAAGTGATGAAATTCTAATCCTGCTGATGGAATAGACAAAAACATCCATGATAACCTGATAGGTGGCTGACACTTGACTAAATTTTTAGGTAATAATTTTAAAAAGTATACATTTTTATTGTAAATTTACAAAAATCATAGAAGAAACCATTTTTGTACAATAATTTTTAGGAAATCATGCTCAAAATTAGAGATTAATAATTTTGAAACTAAATTCGTATCTTTTTGTTTGATGGGATATATTATGCCATAAAATTTTGAACTTCCTTAGTTCAGTTCTACCCTTTCTAGTTCCTTCAAAATATCCTGCACACTCCACAGTAATAGTTCCCAAAAATTTTGTTTGTAATTTTGTGTTGCATATCTGTACGTGAATGCCAAATAGCCTATTAAATAACTAATAAATGCATAAGTTACTATTTGTAAGATAAAATTAAAAGTTTGAGCTACTTTGTGTATGCTGGTTGGTGCTTGGGCTTTAAACATGAGTTTATGGTTTAAAAGTGACTTTTCATGGCATGTTAAAAAGGATTCATAGTTTAAAAAATGGATTGATTGCTCAGAAATTGATATAGAGCTAAAAAATCTGGTCCTAGCTCACAGGCTTGGAGAGCAGATTTTTTTCCACAATAGAAGCAAAGGGGGCTTATCAGCATTAGGGAAATTTACCTTAACATTAATTAGTTTTCAGGTCAGACCCACATTTCTGACCATATGCCCAGAGGCTAGTGAGGAAAATATCTACTGTCTTAACCGCTACTGAATTTTTTTGATCTGTGGTTTTATGGATTTGCAAGCCCGGATTCTGTTTCTTTGAGCCATAAATTCCATATCCTGGCCATGAAGAGCAATTAATGAGCTGCTAACTGATGACTACAGGAGCACACAATTGTAATTTTCCTACTTATTATTGACATTTTGTGGCCCCATAGACAAATTTTAAATACACTTGAAATATTTTAACCCAATTGTGCACTTTTATTCACAATTAGATTGGAGGTAATTCATTTGGCCAAAACTTACTCACTTGGTTTGGAAAATGGCAGGAAAGCTGTAGTTGTGGCTCTAAAGTTAGATATATTCCATGCTAGTACAGGAGGGTTAAAGTACTCTGCTGTTTTATGAAACCTTAAGCTTCCATTGAGACATTTAAAAAAATTAGAAAATGTGTAAACAGAGTGCTATGAGCAAGGTAAATTAAATGTCAAACTATTGAGAAGTGTAGTGAAACTAACTGAATATAACATTTTTTGTAACACAAAAGTCAAAAGAAAATAATGCTTTAATGTATCAAATTCTACTGATATGACTAAATAGAGAATAAAGACCATAGCTGCATGCAGGCTGAGCTATTAAATGACAAATGTTTATTCCAGCTACTGATGTATGATTTATACCAAAAATAGGATTTAGTTCTGTTAAGTTTCCATTTTATTTATGGCTTATGTGCATATTGATTTATGATGCAATGGAGATACCTATAGAATAGAAATAAATAGGTAAAGCTCCATTTATAGAGATTGGTAGCAGTTTGCTTTTTAATTTAATTTTAAATTGAATTACAAATTGATGTTGGCTTTTATTTGTTCAAGATTTAATGTATATATTTGGAGCTGATTATGCACATGAAGGAGCTGACATGAAGGATCTAGCCTTCCTTAATTATCCATTGGCCACAATACATGAAACAAGTTATTTTGCTTTCTTAATTAATATTTTAAATGTAATGGCTAATCAAATTACATGTAAATAGTTGTGACATCTTAACACTATTGGTGAATGTCTAACTTGTATTCTCATGTGCTGATTTCAGACAAGTTTAGTTTCCTTCAATAATGATTGGCCCAGGAGAGCTGAGCTCTCGGAGCAATGAAAGCAGTAGTAGCTTTCTGTCCCGTACCACTGATGCCTGCTCCATGGTTGCCCAAGCACAAGATGCAGGGATATCTCACTTCAAAACTCCATCTGTTCCTCCACCAAGAAAGAAGAAAAAAGTTATGGATGAGGAAACTTATGTTCATGTATGTAATTACTGTTGTACACTTTATTGCTAGTTTAACTTTAATTTTTGATTGAGACATCATTTGGCATTTTTATGCTAATTCATGCATGTATGATCTTTATCAAGAAGATCATCTTAGCTAAACAATTTACTTACTTTCAGTGTTTCATCCTGGAAGCTGAAGAAGGCTAGAATGATCAATTTATCTGTGAACTATTACTGGACTATTGTTTTGATATGCTCAATAATAAATCCAGTTTCATTTTGCATTGTATTTTTGTTTAGGATATATAAAGAAGGTGATAGAAAGTTTTTCTATGAAATAATAATACTTTTCATTTAAACCAGGAGCTGGGCAAAATCATTGAAAGGGATTTCTTCCCTGATCTGGAGAACCTGAAAGACAAGGTAGCTTACCTGGAAGCCAAAGAGAACAATGATGTTGCATGTCTTCAGTCTCTGTATCAAAAGTACTCTACAGGAGGCAGGCTCCCCACGCCTGCATCCCTCGATGACAGTCCTGCCACTTTTGACACGCCTGAGCCACAGGCAAGACTTAACAAAAGGAAGAAAGTTACAGCGGGCAATATCAGCAGTGATGGAGATGATCCTGGAGGTGCTGGTCCAAATACAGGCCACAAAAGTGAGGAAAAGTAAGAATTTTAATAATTTTCTTTAAAAATAATGATTAACATATTACACCCTCTCTTGTAAAGCATTTCATTTTTATTTATTTTCAATGAAAGATTTTTAATGCTGAACGTTGTCTCCTCCTTTTGTCAGATGATGTATAAAGTTGATACCTAATACACTCGGTTAGATTTAAATTATTTACTTTCATAATTCTTCAAGCTGGTATCTTCTTCTAGATTAAATTGGATGAAACTGATAAAAAAATAAAAATATTCATTCACTTGGATTTTCAATGCATAAAAATGGGAGGTACATTTTTACATGAAATAGCATCAGAAAATTATAACACACAGTTCCTTTTATATCTATAAACTTGTCTCAAGCTGTAAAATTTGAGTTTGATGGAGTGATTCAGATTTAGAATACATTTCTTAATTTGTATTCCTGCTCACCTTTGTTAGCAGGAATAGAAAGTAGTGGTTGTACACTTATAGAACACGTGTAATTCAACTATTAATTCACATGGAATTGTTTACATGTTCAAAAGTTCCAAAATTGATTTTATAATTGACTTTTTTGCCACTTCAAAGATATTTAATATTTTGCTATTCTGTTGAAGGCAAGACAAGAAAAAATTGTCTCTTGACGAGTTTTTGGCCCGCAACACAAGTGAAGATGACGACAGCTTTGAACAAATCATTGAAGATGCCAAACAGAAACTCATACAAAAGGTAAGTTTGTACAGAAAAAATACTTCATTTTTTTCAATTTACTGTTTATCTGATGTGCAATCAACAGCAAGCAAGAGAAAAACTGTAGAATAATTGAGAAAGTTATTTATTTTCTTGGCCTCAGATGTACATGATGACCAACTTGGCAAATGAACAATCATTGAGTGTCAACATTTTGACAACCATACTTAATTTGCCTAATTTTCCCAGCAGGTGGTGGTATTTTACAGCTTGTGTGTTATTATGAAATACACAAATTTAAGATTTATAGTGATGTTTCTTTGACCCTATACTCTCTAAAACCTGTAAAATATATGTTACATTAAATTCAAAACTTTTATGGTGAAATCTATTTTACAATGAAGTATTGAAAGAATTTAAGTGGAACATACACGATCAGATGTCATAACTCAAATGTCCTTGCAAATTGAAATTTAAAAATGTTCTGTATAAACTCGCAATGAATTACAATACATTGATCATTATATCTGCTTATTATGTTCTAGAAAGCTTGGATGTTTAATGCAGAGGCTCTTCACAACGCTACCTATGCTCCTGATCTCTCCATGAAAGCCTTGCCTTCTTCAGACCATGAAGCTCAAGCTATAGAAAAAGAAAAAGCTAAGAAACCTCTGGCTATTGAGAACTGGACATACAAAACATTCAGTTCCATCATGTATGTTCCTGATGGTGAGTTGTGATGATGAGAACTGTTCATGATCAACATTCTGTTCCAAAGTTAGGTTCCTGATGATGAGTTGGTATGATAACAATTGTACATGATAAACGTTCAGTTCCATCATGTATGTTCCTGATGGTGAGTTAGGTAGTAGTGAATTGAACTTGTGAAACATTACATGTACAGCCTGTATGTTCCTGATTGGAATTGATCCATGCCAATGTAATGTTTAAGAGTTACTATAGAACCAACTTAAATCTGATATTTTCAGTCTCCTTTTGAAAAAATGTATAAATGTTGATAATTTGTTCCTGGTTAAAGATCCACAAGTATGAAGCTATGGATAAATTTTTCTCACAAATTGATGTATTGTATTGATTTTTTTTATACAATTTTCGATAAAACTATGACATTATCTTATAAATATTTGTCCCAAAGTCCGCAATTCTGCCAACTTTGATGCACCATTCTAGGTCATGATTATTAATTAAATGTTTTATCCTAGAGCACCATACAAGTCGGGCACGAGAGCTTGAACTAGCAAGAGCTGCCCCCAAGGAAGTGCTGCACAAAAACACTCGCTTCAGCACAAACCCGTTCGTAAAACCCATCAATCAGGCGACTGTGTTAGAGGCCTCCGCCGTCCAGTCGCTCAAGAAGGAGGGCAGAATTGGCATTGATGGTAAGGATCTTTGTGTTGTATATTTGTGTGCCACATGACTCATTGCATACAATGTATAATTAATCGTGTGTCACATGACTCATTGAATATAATGTATAATTAATTTAATCTTTAACATAGTATCAGTTTATGCCCAGAGTTCCCGGCATTTATTTCGTCCATGCTTCTTTCCAGGCCGGGAATTATCAAGAGACACGCCTAAAATTCGTGGCTACAGCTTCGTTGGCGACGCTTCCCCGGCCCCCGGAGTAGAGGAGTCTCCCCTCATGACGTGGGGTGAAGTCGAGGGCACGCCCTTCATGCTCGACAAGAGCGCCACGCCCTTGGTGCACTCATCCTCTTCAGCTCCGTCTTATTCTATACCCAAAGTGCCAGCGAGGTGAGCAATTACTTGCCAAGTCGCTTATTTGTACTCCGTATTTTGAATATAACTTCCAATTTAATTTTAATAATGGCATTGAGTTTATAGTGTCAATTACAAAATAAGTTATTGAATCTTATGAATTTTGTTGATTAGAGTATCTCCAAACCATGCTTCAATTAGCATACATTGCTTCTATATTTGACTGATACTCTATTTTATTATAAACGGGAGAGAACAAGAGTTTCTTTGAAATGTTGAAAATTGGGGATCAAGAAAGAATTATTTAATTTAGTTTTATCAATATAGTGTCATCACTCATCACAGCACAATAAACCTATGCTGAACAGTTAAAAAAAGTACCATCGTAAAGGATTGTACATCAGTTTAATTATATCAGTGATGATGATAATTCTGGTGTCGTGCATGGCAGAGATGAGTTGGCTTTGGAGCTGAACGAGAAGGCGAGCCTGGCGCAGCGCGACAAGAAGATGAAGGCGATGATGGCGGCGCGCTGCAGTTTGTTGAGCCCTGCAGTCACGGGCAGCCGGTCAGGGTCTGAACACTGGGCCGGTGAGCGTCTGAGCAACATGTCCCCTGCAGCCCGGCGTCTGCTGTCCTCCAGCCTCGGTGTCCGCCAAAACACTGATCATACACTCAGAGCTTCATACACTCCTTCTCCATTGAAATCTTCCGCGTCGTTACGTACGCCATCCTTGCGTCGCAGTGACAGAAGTAAAGCCACTTACGCCTTCAATACGCCCTCGCCTAGCGTCCCTATAATCAAAAATGCTCGGTCAACGCCCAGTTTATTGCCATCCAAGACAAAGTCTGGCGTGACTCCTAAAGCTGACCGCGGCGGCGCTGACTCCTTAACTGACGGCCTCCTGCAGCTGCCTAAGACTGCCGGCAACCGCCCCACTGCAGCTGATTTCTTTTAATGTATATAATAATATTTTACCACTATCTAATGTAGGTACTACCTAATAGTAATGATGCGTAAATGCAATGTAATGTTTCGTATTAATGTGAGCCATGGCTAGAACGGAGAATTTTGAAATAAAATTAACTTTTCTGCTGTATATTGTCTACAAGAATTCATTTGTTTGATTCCATCACCAGTGCGCTTTACTCTTCTACTGATTCATATTAATCATCAGCTTCTACTGATTTATATTAATAATTCTCCACGTTATATGCCTTCTATATTTGCTTGCGATTGAAGCAATTACTTAGCTGTTCCCATTTCTATCGTAAGTTGGAACATAATACTGTTATTCTTATCAATTATAAGTCATTTCCTGACCGAGTGTCGTGTCACGGGCCATCGTGTAATATTTATGTAAATGAAATATTTTCTCACATCACATGTTTAAATATTCCTCCAAATTAATTCACGTATCAGAAGTCGCGGTATCGCGTAAACATCAATAATATTTTGTGATTAAATGGATATAAAATGGATTGTTGAGCATTGAGTGCCGCAGAGGGGCTGCTACGGGCGTCCTGCCGGGCTGTCTTGGGGACTCACGACCCCACGGATCCTCAGTTCTTTTATTTCGATCCTCAATTGTTTTAAATAACATCCTTAATCATTTGGATTGAGATCTTTAACTATTTTAATTGGGACTCTCAATTATTTTAAATGAAGTCCTCAATTACTCTAAATAGGATCCTTTATTAATTTAATTGTGTAATTGTGATTCTTTGTAATTTTATTACTGCTTTTCTTTCATTTTGTGTGGAAGTGGTGCGTGTAGCGTTGTCCATGTAATCTTTACCTTCTATTTTGCTCTATTCATTGTAGGTTTTTCTGTACCACTGAAAATTTCGCATTGCAATGAGGAAAATCTGATGAAATATGACGACGATACAGCCGCTTCACACGTCTATCATGAGCGCAATTGAGCCGGCGCATTACTCCAGTTTTGCTTTGTCCTATAACAGCTCCGTGAGTTATTGCGAACAATTGTCCACTATTGTGCTTCATGATAGTTTCTTGTTTTCCTGTTAACTCGTATCATCGACTGCTTCTGATCTGTACGTTTCACCGTAAGATCAGTTGATTTAGTGGAGCATTTTTCTAAGTATAATCCTCTCATGTTTTACACAGCGCTCATTTAGTGAACGAGCCTGAAAAATGTCTGCTTCAAGCAAGATGATTCAAATATTCATCTTACGTGTTTTCAGTCTGAATAATGAACTGCTTTTGTCTGTATAATAGTGTGTCCGAAATTTCCATTGATGATTTTTTTATCGTATCACTTAGACCGTTTATCTTTTTCAGTTTTTATTGTATTTAATCTGTTCATTGAGTTATATATAAATAAGTTCTCACGTCATGGAGAGCAACGGAGACAGCGTCCAGTCTGGAGTGGCGTGCATAAAGAAAGAGTGAGTGCATAATTAGTTCCATGCTAACTTTATTATATTTTCCAATCGTATTTCTGTTACTGTCACTAATGAGCATGTGGAAATATGAGGAATACTTGAACTTTGGTGTTCAGATTCTACGTTACTTTTCATTTTCATTTTAGTTAAAATGATTTGTTTGTGATAACGTGATAAGGTCATCAATGATTTGATTTTTTTTGCAATAACGTGATTAGATAATCTATGATATTTTAAATTATTCACCAAATTCAAATTGTAAAATTGTAAACTACTATTTACGCCTATTTTTCACCATGCCTATAGGCATAATTCAATTTCAAATTTTCAATTAGTTCCTTTATTGTTCAAATTCTAGAGACGAATCAAGTGAGCTTCTTGGTCTACATTAAAGTTTTTCATCGGTTTAAATTCACGTGAGTGCCTGCCTCAGCTCACCTCTGGTACGGTTCAGGTTCTTGTTGAGTTGGACGAGAGCCGCGCTGGACCAGGACGCCGGCAACGCCTCGACCGCCCCTGTAGCTGCCAAGCGTCCTGCCGACGACGTGCATGCCGAGGCTCCGGCACATAAGAAGAATAAAGGTGAACCTGATGAACGTATTTATTTTTGTACATTTATTATTTAGTTTGTACATGATTTTTTTTATCTTTTAGTAAATGCGTTGTTACAAACAGAAAACTGTCTTAATTAAACCTAGATGTCTATAATTAAGACTAGAACCTAATTACGATTGGATAACTTTTATTTACTCTGAAGTGGGTTACTTGAAAAGTTGATCTCGGATCTTCCAAAACCTGGTATATCTGTTTCTTATAAGCCCTGTTCTCAAGCTGCCGTTGAAGGCTCGTTACAATTAGAAATAAGGCAGCCGAGTTTCATGCTTATGCATGCTGAGGTTGTAATTGTATTTTTATCAATAATTAGGTATAAATTCTATTGTTGGCATGCACTTATCACCAATGGATTTCTTCGCAGTTCTTTGACTTGCGTCATCCTTGCTCTTCTTACGCCATATTTGTTCTTACTTTGACAAAATATTGTACTTTAATTTCTGTAATCTGTATTTACTAAACAAAATTTTCATACGCAGGTCAAAACAAGAACCGCCCTCGCATGACTCGCCAGCCACGATCCGCCAAACTGTGCAGATTTCTCTGGGCCATGACACGAGAAGACTTAGAAGAAGCCATAGCAAAAAGCAAGCTCTCCACAACACAAGCCAATGGTTCTTCAGAGATACCTCCTAGTAGCAAACATAACGAAGCCTCCAATGACACTGGAACAGCATCAGACACTAATTCCCTTAATGAAGAAAAAACTGAACCTTCTAAAATATCAGCACATGTTACGTGCGTCAAAACTCGCCACCCTCTTTGTGTGTTCCCAAAGTGTGATTTCTTGCACGACGTACAAGCCTTTCTGGCGTCGAAGCAGCAAGACATCGGCGAGAAGTGCCACAGCTTCGTGACTTATGGCCGGTGTCCTTATGGGCTCATCTGTAGGCAAGTGAAACTATTTAACACGTTTTTCTTAGCTTAGCTTCGCGTTTGTTTGTTTGTTTGTTTGTTTGTTTGTTTGTTTGTTTGTTGTTAACATTGACAACGAAAATTATGTCAAAACTCGCCACCCTCTTTGTGTGTTCCCAAAGTGTGATTTCTTGCACGACGTACAAGCCTTTCTGGCGTCGAAGCAGCAAGACATCGACGAGAAGTGCCACAGCTTCGTGACTTACGGCCGGTGTCCTTATGGGCTCATCTGTAGGCAAGTGAAACTATTTTTCCGATCCTCTCTCGTGTATAATTATTTCTGTTATTCATTAATAAGAAACAAGGATATTTTTCTATTAAAGGCAGTGTTTTATCATCTTTGAAATTTTTCAATATTGTAACCGGAAAGATTGGATAAGCTTTTTATTGACGACACGGTGAAAATTGTGTGCAAAATTAACTTTCAGCTAACCTCATATATTCCAGTAGAACTTCACCACCGGGCTGCACAGCATATGATTTTATATACTAGATAAATTTAAATGTAATAAATAAAGGAAAAATCGTTCATAAAATGATTCACTTCAGGTTCGGAAGCGAGCACATCAAGGATGGCTTCAACGTCGTGAACAAAGAACTGTGGAGCGTCTACCAGCACAAGGAGCTTCAGCAAACGATATAACGTGATAAAACATAACTTATTTTAAGTGGACATCATATGTGGTGTAGCGTAACTTATCTAAGTAAACTAGACAACTTGAAGTCATATTTTTGTAAAATGAATATGAAATTTATTATATTTTTCTGCTATTATTGTGAAATATTGTTGAACAATACCTCTCGATGTTAGTTTTGGGCGATTGACAACATGGGGGGCGTGTTCTTACTTGAGTAACTGTGGGAGATTGCATATGTTTTTCGATGAAAAAAGCTTAATGTAGTTATTCAAAACCGAATAATTTCAAACTTACGATAATTGGTGTTATAAAAAATAATTCTTTGGGAATTATATAACTTTTAATTATCCCCTGATAATTGATTGTAACACATTACTCTGTGTGCTTACTTTCAAATATTTTTTCAGATTCAAACTGCACTCCGCAAAAGAAATTACGAATTCAAGCTCGCGGGAGAAGCGCTGAAGGCGGCTGAAACTGAGAAAAATATGTGTACTAATGGCACCAAGGGAGCTGTTGCAGGGGTCACTTGTGCAGACGAAAAGAAACAAATTCCATATGTCATGACTGATGATCTCACGAGTGATAACGGTCATAACGTGCCTATTGTCGATAGTGTTTCTAATTGTGATGCTGTTAAAAATTCGGTAGTAGATTCTGGTCCTATTTCTGGTACGTCGAGCGAGCGTCTTAGTCCGTCTGGATTGCATCATGAAGAAACTTCTCACGTTGCGTGTTTTGGCGAGACAAAAAATGTGAATATTGTTGACATGGAGAAGGATGCACTGAAAGAACAGAAGTCTTGTTTATTAGGGCCTGCTTCTGATGAAGACATGATCAGAGTACGGCCCAAAGAAAAGCGAAAGGTACGTTGGATTCTTATTAGCTTTGGTTTAAGTTTTCCTCGATTACACAAGCTGCATCACTATATTTCTACTGAAAAAGTGTAGTATGGTTTATAGTGATATAACTGGTTGGTTGAATAATTGATAATTCAGAATGGAATTCGCAGACTGGTGATTGACACACCAATTTTCTTCTAGACGATAAACAAACATAACCGAATTTACTTGAACAACTTTAAATATAGGGCATTTGGAAAACGATAAAAATACCTATGTTTTCTTTAAAATGTTTCACAAAATGAGTTTTTTACCTATTACTAATATTATTACAACTATTTTTACATTTTGATTCCCATTTCCTACTATGAGACTTCCTGCTTCTGATATTATTTTTTCCTGCTTCTTTTTATATCATTTCTTATACAGGCCTAAGATAAAGTTTATTGTTGCTCTCGTCAGGTGACGTGGAAGGACCAGCTCTACCTGGCCCCCCTCACCACGCTCGGCAACTTGCCTTTCCGCCGCATCTGCCGCAGGTACGCGATGCTTGGAGCTCTTCACACTTGGGTGGATACTTCCTACTGTACTGATACAAATTGCCTCGTCTCTTACTAGTTAATGCCAGTCGTAATTATTCGTGAAAGAAAAGATTTTTTTAACTTCTGCTGTACGATTCATTTAAAATTCATGTGTATCTCGGATGAAACTGTGAAACGTTCTGTTGATGTCATTGAATCAACATTTGCAGCACGGATGTACACGTTCACTCTGAAAAGGCCTTGAAATTTTTATGTTGAATTCATGGTACAATTAATCAAAAGGCAGTAGACATCTGCAGTACCAGTACCTTGATATTCACTCACAATTCCCGAGTTTTATTGACTTGATGTCTACTGCCTTTGATTTATCTTATTTCAAGGGGCTGAGAGTGCTTCTTGTTGATTGGTCATAACTGACGCGTTAAATTCACTCGCATAATCTGTTGTGATAAACTACAAACTACATAAACTACAACTTTCTTTAACTTGATAAACTACAACTTTCTGCACGTGCTCTCAAACTTTTAATTTTACTAGAAGACAATTCTAGTTGAAGAGGAGAATCCTTATTAATATGAAGAAACGTGTGGACAATGATGGAGTTTAATTTAATGCAGACTGGGCGCCGACATTACATGTGGCGAGATGGCGCTCGCCGCAAACTTGCTGCAGGGGCAGCCCTCTGAGTGGGCGCTGGTCAAGCGGCACCACACTGAGACAGTTTTTGGTGTCCAGGTAAACATCGCAGCCATCCTTCAGGGCTGAGAATTATATTCATAAGCAAATGTTATGAGCTGTCTTCATAGTAATTGCGTTTGAAATTTTTCCATTGCGTTCGTAAAAACTGCTATGTTTGGTTAGACTGAAATCTTGCAGATCTTGCACGGTCAATTAAAGTTTTCTCGGCTTCTCTCTAAAGTCTTTACATAAGTTTTGATGTCAGCTACTTTTTCGGTTTTCCGAGTCCCAGTGACTGTAAATAAAACTAGCAATCCCATTGCACTTCCACATGCAATTGCTTCTACCGGCAACACTTTCTAGTCTTCTACATAGGATGTTAGTCACTCATTATATAACGTGCTCTCAAACTTCTAATTTTACTAGAAGACACTAATCTTTTTTTAAGAATAAAATTAATAATAATAATAATGATGATAATTTAATGTCACTGTGCTTGCTATACATAATACAATGCATTACTGTTCATCTATGTAGGTGTGTGGCAGCAACCCTGCAGTGATGGTCAAGTGTGCGGAGTTGCTGGCTGACAACATCTCCATGGACTTCGTGGACATCAACATGGGGTGTCCCATTGATCTCATCTACCAACAGGTGATGTACCAGCATCACGCTCTACTATGGCCTGATCAATACTTAGCTATTAATATGTCGTGAAGAACTTCGAGTGCGGGTTTGAGGTCCGAGATAAAATCTGAAGACTTTTTCTGAGGTTAGATACGCGTGGTCTGTTATGAATAATTTTTAATTCCTCCAATTTCCTAGGTCTGTTAATTCTCAGTTCTTCGTGTATGAAGTGATTAGTCTAATATTTCAAAACTTTTCTTGAATTATCGTGAACATTAGTTTTTGATTCAAAACTGATATATTCATATGCATAAAATCAAATCATGTTTTAGAGAGAGAGCAACCTTTAAAAATATTTACAATGCTATTCAACTTGAAAAATTTAATAGAATGCACTTTAAAAATTTGCCTTGATTTTCACTCACAATTCACGAGTTTTATTGACTCTTAATGTATACTGACGGTAATCAATCTTATTTCAAGGGGCTGAGAGTGCTTCTCGTTGATTGCTCATAACTGACGCGTTAAATTCACTCGCATTATTTGTTGTGATGAGCTACAAAATTTCAGGGAGGACTGATTTCTGTTAATTGTTCGTAGTTCACTTGATAGATTAACGCGTAATATCTACTATATTTCAGGGGCTGGAGTGCTCTTGTTAATGCTCTTAGTTCATTAGGTAGATGAGCTCGTAATATCTACCATTATAATCTACCATATTTCAGGGGGTTGAGTGCTTTTAGTTCATTAGGTACTCGTAATATCTACCATTATAATCTACCATATTTCAGGGAGCTGGGAGCGCTCTAATGCGGCGGCAGGGAGCGCTGGAGCTCATGGTGCGCGGCATGACGCGCGTGCTGCCCTGTCCTCTGACGGTGAAAATGCGCACCTCCATACACACGGGGGACAAAGTTGCCCACACCCTCATACCGCGCTGCAGGGCCTGGGGCGCCGACATGGTCACGGTGAGTGGGGCACCTCCATACACACGGGGGACAAAGTTGCCCACACCCTCATACCGCGCTGCAGGGCCTGGGGCGCCGACATGGTCACGGTGAGTGGGGCACCTGGTCTTATAATGACACTATTAGCTGTGCGGTACATGTGAACATTTATCACTGTAGATAAATCTGAGATAAAAATTTTAGTTACGGTTGTTACCACTCTGCTAGCTACTAATTTTAAATTTTTGAATGCGAACACTGAATACCTAACACTTTAGAACTTGGTTTAAATAGCAAGGCTATAGAAGTTGATCGAGTGAAGAAGTAATTTTACGTAATGAATGGTTTCTTTGCTGATGTAGTAAAGGCGAGTGCTTTTTACCAAGCGGTGTTTGCAAATACAGAATCTCTGAAAATAAACCTTCACCGCGATTGTTGCTTGCAAGACCCTGTAGCTAATTTTTAATATTGCTCCTGCCTTAATGTTTCCTGTTTTCATTTTTCTGAATTTGATTTTGATTAGAAATTATGCCAAATATTTGTTGGCGTTGAATGGTTTGGACGAACCCAGACTTTTTCCTTCCATATTCATGTTGTTTCTAATCATTTTTTTGCGAATGGAGCATCACTAGCTCCACGTTTTTGTCACGGGTAACATTTATTTAAAGATCAAACATTTCTTAAACTTCCCAACTTGTTCACAGTTGCACGGACGATCGCGTGAGCAGCGCTACACCAAGACATCAGACTGGCAGTACATCAAGGAGTGCGCGGCGGTTGCCGACCCCATGCCTTTGTTCGGCAACGGTGACGTGCTTTCTTACGAGGACTACAACAACTATAAACAACTTTCTGCAGTTACAGGTCCCGAAACTAGAATTTAATTGGAAATAAAATAAGATATAGTATATTTATCCCGACTCAAGTAAATGATGCATAATTTATGGTAGTAAAAAATGTGAATTGAAAGATTTTATTCCAACGGGGAATACGTTTACACAAAATTCCTTCATGGTATGCTTTATGGACACGTTCAATTATAGATTTTCAAAGAATAAAATTTATAGCTTATCGTTTGTCACTACTATTTATCGATTGTAGTTTACTTCTTCTTAAGTTTACTTCTAGTTGATTAAATTTAATTTATGCATCAATTTCCTCAATTCACGGGTAACTTTTCTATCAAACCGAAACAAAAGCCTACACACACAAAACCAACTCGTATACAATCATTATCATTTATCCTTCCGTGCATTGAGGCTCATTTTACCGAGGATATAACTATCTTGCTATATTCATCAACATTTTCTTATCTATTCTCTCCGTGATCACTTACGTAACAATGCCTTGTTTATGTAGCAAGTACATATAATAATAAAGTTATTGCTCATTTTTTCTGGTTCACTCCAGGCATTATGATTGGACGAGGAGCGTTGATAAAGCCGTGGATCTTCACAGAGATCAAAGAACAAAGGCATTGGGACATCTCGTCTCAAGAACGCTTCCAGATCCTCAGAGACTTCGTCAACGCCGGATTCGAACACTGGGGATCTGACGCTGAGGTTACAATGCCATGGTTTGCTTTATTGAACAATTCATTGCATCAGATTACTGTTTGGGGGAGGGAGTTATTTGAGCTAAAACGTTGCTTCGCTGTTAATGTCATGGTTGTATAATGGATAATTTTTGTTTTATTTATAATTTCTCTTCATTCATGATTTTGCGCGTCCAACAGCACTCCTGTGTCTGATAATTTCAAAACCTAAAATCAAAACGCAACAGCAAATCATTCATTTACAGAAATGTGACAAATTCTGCATTCAAATTATTTCATACAATGGAATAAGAATCTTCAGTCAATTGCAGTGAGGTTCAAAACCGCGAGTGTCTGCAACTTTTCTTAATCTGACCACAGTATTTAATAATTAGGGACAAATACTGGAACTAACTCTTTCCAGAGAACAGATTTGTGAATTCTTTTACAGTCTGCAAGATAAAAAAGATTTTACGAAATTATCTAGGGTGTCCTGTAGAAAAGTTGTCCTTTCACTTGTCACCTTTCTACTGCTATTCATTACCTACTACAAACAAAATCAAACGTTTTTTCTCCTATTTATTTAGGGCGTGGAGAAAACCCGCGTGTTTCTGCTAGAATGGCTGTCGTTTTTGTGCCGCTACGTGCCCGTGGGGCTGCTGGAGAGGCCCCCGCAGACTATGAACCTCAAGCCGCCGCTCTTCAGCGGCCGAGACCAACTTGAGACTCTCATGGCTTCGAGAGACTCGCGGGACTGGATTAAAATCAGGTTAGTGCCTCATATCAACCACGCCGTCTATTGAAATATATTTCATACATCAATTATAGTTGTTAATCCTGTATTCGTGTCCTGACGATGCTACATAGACATAATCGCGATAGGCAGTTCTCAAATGAGCATACTAGTGTGTGGTTATTGGTGATAGTGTATTTTAATTATTGGCAGATGAGCGTGCACATTTTTAGATGGATATTTTTTCATTCTCTAACGCTGACATTTTCTGACGCCTTATTTGTATCAAAGAATGTTACGAGAAACGAGAAGCAGGTTTATAATCATTCGATACAACACCATGAATGTTCTGTTTATGCCTAGCTACTTTTTTAAATTACATAAACGCAGATTTTAGTATCGTTAGTGAGCACAGTGGAACACAAACTAAATAGATCTCATATCTAATGGTACTTTTTATTTCAGTGAAATGCTTCTTGGACCTGTACCAGAAAACTTCGCCTTCCTACCAAAACACAAAGCTAACTCGTGGACTTGAATTGTACCTTTACCGAGCAGTGCGTGGATCCTTGGACATCGACTAACTCGTCTTCAAAATTGTACTCGTTTTAACTGATTCATTTCAAATCATCATCAAGTCCTAAACCAGTAATGATGAAACTCTATGCTTATGTTCTACAAAATCCATCTCTAGAGATTTGGTAATGCACAATACATTAGTTTATCACACATTGGGGGGGGGACATTTCCTGCCTGAATGGGTTGTTCACTGTGCCACTGAAGTCAGTCTCATCTCTTCCTGTTGGTGGGGATTAAGAATGTTCCAGCCACCGGTGAACTGATACCACCTCACCACCCCAGGTTTACGAAGTTTACGGTTCTCAACATAAAACCCCGGTAGAGGAGCCGTCGCAACATATGCATACTCATCAAGTTAATGCAGCCTCTCACAATTCTGTCAAATTCTTTCCATTAATGTATCAATCCTTACGGAAGGATAGGTACCACTCATGATTGTAGGTATGTTCATAGGAATTGTGTTGGCGTGTAACTTTAGTTTTCCTTACTGTCACCGTTGGGATAATGCAAGTTTTGTGATTTTATGTTGAACTATTTAAGTATAGATTGTTGAAAATATGCTACAATCCACTTATTCACATTTCTCCTGACAAACATGCCAAGAAATAAACTAATAAATTAGGAAAGAATGAAATCGAGGATAGCTTCTTCTTCGTGTTAAACTTTGTCAAAATAGAACAATACTAACAACGGCACGTAATGCATACCGGAACACACGAGCTAGGTTAATTACAGTAAATTATTCTTCACCTTAATCATAGCTATTTTAATTCTTACATCTATTAGTAAATTCTTACATCTATTAGTCATACCGTAATCAAGTTATATATTCAAAGAAGAGTTAATGGTACACCGTGTATGTACATTAATTGAAGAACCGTACCTATTCTCGATGCATCCAAGGACGACCTCAAGAAGTTATTAATTGAATATTGATATCGTAACTGAACGGGATATTATTAATGCAGGTATGGCTATTATGAAAGCCAAGATAACGCAAATCGATTCAGAATTTGAGCCCGACATAAATTTTTTAATTGAATCGTTTAGGAGAACGAAAGTATTCAGTGAGAGCACAAGGCAACAAAATTTTTGGTACGGAATGAAAATTCGCGTGATAAACATGAGTTTGGTTTGGGGAGAAGAGTGTAGACAAGTAGTTAAAGGAACTACTGCCCAAATTTCCGGTAGTTACAGTAACTGAATAGGTAGAGATGGCGTAACATAAAATGTGATTAGCACAAATGACAATTTCAACATGGATAACATGTCAAGATCATTAACCTGAAGATGAACCTTGCAAAATCTTATATCTATTAGCAGTTAAATTCACGCATATGCACTGAAAACTGACTTAAGTAGAGAAAGCTCAATTATTTGAATGAAGCATGTACAGTATACATAGTAAAGCCACTGAGGCACTGCTACTGCAAGGTCTCTCTAACTAACCAGTTACTCGCGTCCAGGAACCAAAAATTACGGAGAGTCGACATGTCTTCCGTATTACACAATTAAGAATTTTTATTTACCGAGAAACTCTCATCCACCGATTCATATAAATGCTCGAAGTTCAATAACCGAAGTTGGAATGGTCTAGTTTACATCAAATGATCTCGTGGAATTAGTAGTACTCAATGAAAATTTTCATGCCTCTATTCACTGCCGAGTCAAAACACCAACCTAGTTTTCGTATGGTTACTTTGTTCCTATTTCAAGTGCATTTTGCGCTCTGTTAAAGTAACATACGTAAAAATGAATATTTAGGAACGAAAACCCACGAATGAAGGTGGGACACAACTAAAGACATGCGATGCGGGAAACTGAAGACTCAAGCCCTTACAATATAAATACGAAGAAAATAATTACTAATTAAGCAAACATACCAGACTTGTCAAGTAAATAATATATGGAAAACAAATAAAATTTTGGTGAGTTTGGAATCTATCATCGAAGGAGAATTATATTCGAATGTCAACGAACGATACATGATTTGCTGTTAACTTTTAACGATAAAACTATGAGTCCTTGATAAGAACACTACAAAACCTAGATCTACAGCTCCATTTCATCGTAATTAACTAATGCACGCAAATTGTTTGAACAATGCACTGAAACTAGTGAGACTAAAATATGAATAGGTCGCTAAAGTTGAATTAAATTCGAGAGAAACAGTTTTTCTCGACAAAAAATCTAAGGCAAATTCAGAGAATTAATGGTGACGCAAATCTTATTAAAACAGGAGGAAGGTTATCCATTTTAATAGAAAGTATAAAATGTTAAAGAACAGAATTTGCACCTAATTTCGTGACTAGTATGATGGTTTTATGAAATGATCAATTTAGTCTTAAAAATAATGGTTCTAAGTGATATTATTAATAAAGTAACCGGGCCGGTTAACAAAGTAATCGAGATCCACTAAGTCATTCAGTTTCAGTGAACTATGTATGAGCTAGCCACCTAGGAAGCGTTCAAGAACTTGTAGTTCTCACACAACCACGAGTAATTTTCCTTTTCTTAGTAGAAAACTTGCATGAAGCAAGCATTGGATTTTCCCACTCCAACTTCACTTAGTAAGACATTTCAACCGAATACAAAGTCAAGTCAATATTCTCTTAACTAGCTCCCTGCTCACACAGTCAGTAGCGCTCAACTCTTCAAAGCCTGAAGTCTGCTCCTCATCTCCTCCATGTCTTCCTCAGACTCCTCGTCTGCCAGAGAATCAGTTGGCAGAGCTGAGGCGCCTTCAGTTGCAGGCAGAGCGTCGTTCACCATCGCAGGGGCCTTACCCAGAGCTCCTGCCGTCACCTCCCACAGTATCTGTTAAACCGAGACCATTGGTAGAAGAAAAATGTTAGATTTTAAAGCCGAGAAATGCTGATAATGAGGTCCAGTATGAAGTGAAGATTTTTAGATATTCGTACCAAATTAAAAAATGCGTAAAGTGAATATGGCACATCGCCACTTTTCAATCTCTGCTTTCTAAAAGAAATTAGTAAGAACTAATGCAGCAGGTAGAACAAATTATTTAAACTGACCAAAACCGTCAAATGAACTGAATACCTAATTAAAGTTGAAGCATTTTATGCATCATTTGTTAATGAATTTGACCGTAATGGAATAGGTTAAAGTAAAATGAATAACACATAGCATCAACGGATTGGGATCTCACCTTGTCTACTTCTTCTTCTGCCTCCTCTTCCAGCTCCTCAGGCTCCAAAGACTCCATGGTGTCCTCGAGCATTTCTTCAATGATACCAGCCTTCATCATCTCCTTGCTGAGCTCCTGCATCGTGCGCGATATTTCTGGCAGCTTAACGAGCTGCTGCATGGCCTGCATCACCTCAGTAGAGCGGGCCAGGGCTCCAGCAACGCGGAGTGTGGCTAGTATAAGTAATATCTTTAGCTATAGCACACAAATTGATATGAAAATACAAATATTGAATGGACAATAAACAAAGTACCTACTGAAATGAGCTTACCATGCTTTTTCAAGAAAATAATATGGGTATTAGGGTGGAGAATTGATCGAAAAGCAATACCGACAAAGACAAGTGCTATGATAAACAGCTGCTGACTATAATAGGTGCTATCTAATCTAATGTACCAAAGTCAATTATTGTATGCATTATTTAATGCATTCAATCGAATATTTACAACCTAATATATACCTACCTATATAGTATACTACTTGAATTTACATAAATATTGATGCTAGCATGTAAGTGATAAACAAATTCAAATCAAATCAACATTTTTTCGATTATTTACTTCTTTTTTGGATTCCTAGAGAAAAATGCATGCTATGAAATTCCTCACCAAGCTGTCCTTTCATCTGACACTGCACAGAATTGAGGTGAGCTTTGCTAGTATAGATCCGTGTGATGGCGCGGCGAGAGTGAATGATCTCTTTGGCCAGGACTTTGCACACGTCAACATCTCCCTTTTTGGCGGCTTCTTTCATCATCCGCTTGACCTTTTCTTCTTCCCGCTGAATACCTGAAGAAGGAATACGATAATTCTTAAGAGGCTTCATCATCTTAAAACTTAGTGCACATCAATCTTGTTGAGGCTCCTACTTGAATAATAGAATGTTCCTCTTTTAGAACCTTTATAAACATCATGTACTTCAATTAGAATTTGTGCTTTTCAGACACTACAGTAGCAACTAGAAATGAATGGTTAAAAGCATGTTTAACCCTCTAACGCCATATGTCCAGGAACATAACTTTCAAATTAAATTATACGTAAATTTTTTACTGTAGCAACCTGAAGACATGTGTATGCAACATAGAACATTTAAACTTGTACATGGTGACACCCATCAATGCAAGTCATTTTGCGCACGCTAGCAACATATCTTTTTTGGGAAGTAGGCTTACTCGTGTCAAGCAGCAGAGGGTTAAAGCTTATAAGGAAATATTACTGGGAAAGAATAGCTTTCAACTGGCATATATGAAATTATTCAGAGCACAGTAGTTTTGGCTTATCTATGGTGACCTGAGCTCAGTTTTTAGATTTTTGTTTATTATCAAGTACTATACCAAGCATTGCCCATAAATGGTATGACGTTTCAAACCAATTTTCAAACAGATCTGCCACAGAACTAAACTCACAGCTTTCAAGTTTCAATTTCATTGACTTAAAAAAGTTGCATTATTATAAAATTCAGCCTAATGAACCCCATTATGCCAACTTTGAATCTTGTTAGTAGATTGAAAAGTAAATATAAAGAGTAATACTATCTTTGGGTAAATGTAGATATGACTTGAATCAATTGTAAGATGTCATGGGACCAAAAAACCCAAGCTATGCAGAAAAATGTCAATAAATGTCTCTTCATGTATTGAATATACTTATTTTATATTCAAAATATTAACATATATTTATTGCATATAGGTATTTATATAACATTTAGTGACAAGATTGTTTGAAAAATTGGCAAGACCTTGCCAACAGTGGAGACTGAAAGACTAATCATGGTGTAGAAAGGTACCTTGCTCGATTGTGAACAAATGCAAAATGAAGGTTCCAGTCTCCAAATCACCACCCACCAAACACTAAGGTTGCAAATTTTGCTATCCACTTGATGTAAAGTCTCCATAGTATATTAAAAAGTAATTATAACACCGATTCAAGGTAAAGAATGTACACAGTTTTTTGCTCAATAGATAATCTATAAGAATGAAATTTTGAGTATAGCCACACATGTTAGTTGAGAGATCTCAAATCAACTTTAATGAAAAATACCACACTAAATTTATATATAAATACCTATATATTTGTACACTATGCATTTCTATGACTGTGATGTATTGAAACAGCTCACAAAAAAATTGAAAAAAATGGCAGATTGATTTACAAGGCTATGCTTTCCAGCATGTTGTGAAGATGGGACAAGTAACACCCAGAGTTAGGAATATTTGAATTTGGGCAAATTTCCCAGCGCAGTTAAGGCCACATGTTGACAATTTTATTAGTTTTTACTAATAAACTCTAGAGCACATGATGTATCATGTTGCCTGAAAGTTCCGTCTGATAGCAACCATTTATATTTAATGAAATCAGAAACACTCACGCACTCCTTATTTGCCGATCAAGTTGATGATCTTCTTTGCGAATTTTACTGCACCATTCTTGCACCTGAAAAATTTTAATAATTTAAAATAGATATTAATTTAAATTTATACGTTTTATTTTTGAAATCATGTTCAAATTGTTTGAGATCACTAAAATTTTGAAATAAATTGTAGTTTATGCCATCAATTAGATATATACTTTCGTTTTTGTTTTACTAGGATCTTGAATCTCCATAAATTGGTAAATTTAGCAGAAGCCACCATAAATGAGACAAAAAGCCCATACACACAGACAATGTCACTCTTTCCTATGGCCTTGCCTGATTTCTTATCATGTGAGTCATCATGTGCCATTCATATTATTTTATAAAAGAAATTAGACAAAGGTTTTTAGACAGGTGAAATTGAACCACAAGAATTTGAAATAGTGTCTCATTCAGAGGTGGCTTCAGCACAATTTTCCAGAATGGACTGTGTATTTTTAAACTGGGATATCATACCATAGTGGGAAATGAGAGATTTTTTATACTTGTTTTATTTATTATTGCTTGAATTTTCTCCACACACAGAATCATTCCTGTGGAGTAGTGTGAAATTCTGCAGAAGTAATATATTCTAACATTTATAAAAGAAAATGGATCAGAAGGCCTACCACATTACACTCCCCACCACTATGCCAAGGTGTACACTGAACTTGTGAGAGGCTGTTGCTATTCTGTGGTGAAAGGCTGTTGCACAATTGTAACAACTGCATGTGGATCTCTGTGTGGATCTCAATGTTCTTCACTAGTAATTGAACAATCTTTGTAATGAATATGTTAAAAAAATAATAATAAGGCAACTATTGCAGAAAAGTCTCACTATTTCAAAAATACCAACAAAGTTTTTGGTGCTACAAAAAATGATAAGAATATCCAATTATTTTATGGCATGTGTCACATAGTAATGGTGAACAAGTAAAGATTGATGATGTCCCACTCCCTGTTTAGGTAATGTTAAATTTAATTTCACAATAAATAAATCTGATCCACACTGAGATTTAAATGATAGAAATTGTTTAAAATTCAAACATCACTTTATTATTGTCTATTTGTCTTTATATGTGACCAGTTATAATTTTTTCATGCGTTTCATGATTTTGTTGATATTGCTGACTTCACTTAACATCCTGGAGCATTTCATCTGCTATTGTGAATTTTCAAATGCCTTGCATCTTCTAGAAAAGTTTTGATGTTTCTAAGCAAGAATTACTACATTTTCATTAACCAGAAACTGAGAAAGGCAGGATTTTGAGAACTTGGCCATTAGGAACAGAGAGTAGTAAAATACCTTGCCACCCGGCACTCACTAGCTATGATTTTTGCCCACAGCCACACACAAGCATGCCAATCTAAAACATGGGAAAAAACAGTAGGATCAAATTTTCTAAATTGGCAGGGTAAATAGGCCTACCCAGGAGCCAGGATACCTTGCTAATGAATAATGATGGGTGATTTTAGAAAACTGTAGCCTGTAGGTGAAAAAGGCAATTCTATCATTTAACAGTATCTTTAAGGAAATTAGGGGTATTATTGCAGATTAACTACATCCAAAAAAAAGGGTGTTTTTTTTTAATTATATGTTTTTTGGGGTGTAGATTACGAATCTGAAATCCAAGCAGAGAGCGCGCTTCTGTGTTGATTGTTGGGCATCGGCTAAACCGATCGTAAATCGCGTGCGCTTGTCTCGATCATTAGGCATCGGCCACTTTGATCGCAAAGAGCGCGCTTCTGTGTTGATCATTGGGCATCGGCTAAACCGATCATAAATCGCGTGCGCTTGTGTTGATCATTAGGCATCGGCCACTTTGATCGCAGAGAGCGCGCATCAGTATTGATCATTGGCTAAAACAATTGTAAATCGCGTGCGCTTGTGTCGATCATTAGGCATCGGCCACTTTGATTGCAAAGAGTGCGCATCAGTGTTGATCATTGGGCATCGGCTATATAGATAGTAAAGCACGTGTGTTTGTGACGATCGCCAGGCATCAATCGTAAAGTACATATGCCTGTGTCGATCATGCAGCATTGGCGAGGGTTACACTTCCGTTTTTAGCAAGCATATTGGCAACTTTTTTCCCTGGCGTACATCCGAAAACGAACCTCCGGCGTACACGCTGCACTTTCCTGACCATGGTGCTGATGATGGATGATTTTAAAAAACTGCAGGTAAAAAAAGGCAATTCTATCATTTAACAGTATCTTTAAGGAAATTAGGTAAAGGCCATAGCATAGTGACAAAGCAGAGAATTTTTTAGACTGTCCCTCAAGTTTATTTTTGAGTCCTATAAGTAGACCAGTAAAGTAGCTATCATGGATACTACCGTGGTAGGCCAGTATTATCATACTCAAGAAATTGGTTTAAATCTTGAGTTTTTGAGGAAATTAAAAATGAACTGATTCCAAAAAAGCTCTGAAGTCTGATTTGCCACTATATGGGCCATAGGCCTATAGGAACAGGTAAAATTGGCCAGATTCACAGGCCTTTTCAACTGATTCACAGGTGGCCAACCACCAACATTGGCTTCTGCTCAATAGCCTCAATTTTCCAGTTTTGTTTCGTGTCAAGTCACAGTCACATTTCCTGTGACAGGGTCACCCCAACGGCAGAACGGCCCAACTGACAGGGTCACTGGGTCAGGGACTCAGGGTGTAAGTTTTGTTTTTTTGGAGCCAGAAATTATGTGTCTAGATATGAAAATGACTTCCCAAATGAAATGTTCATCACATTTTAAAACATTTCCTCATTTCGAATGTAACTTGTAACAGATATTTTGTCTCACCTGTTCCTTGGGAGTTTTTGAAGGTGTTTTGGAAAATAACCCCATTATAATTTATAAGAATGAAATGTCAACTTTTCTCGAGCACTAGCACTATACTCGCTTTTTTTTTACAGTCCCGGTATCGGCAGACCGTTATCACCAAACTCCCATCAAACAATGCCGCTGAGGCGCTGAGTGTGTTGACCAAAGTTACTGTAGTGTTAAACTATGTAAAGCTATGTTGTGATTCAATCCCGAAGCAAAACAGTGACATCTGTTCGGAGTGTTCGTTTACGTTGTAGGGGCTTTGGTTCAATTGGTTGTGAGTTTAGAACGGCAACGTTACGCAACTAGAGAAATTTCCTAAAACACTGAAAAGGGGTTTTCAAATTTAAGTGAAAATCTAAATGTAGCTATGTTGATATTTATTAAGTTACTCCATTTAACGCCAAGCATGAAATATCTCTATAGGAAATAATCAAAATTTCATTTTTGTTCATTCGAAATGTTTACAGGACTTCATGAATTGCGAGAGGCTAAGATTCAACAACGAATCGACGATTCAACTGGAAATTCAAGTGTGTGCGGTCGGGTATGCACTTGTGTTCCCAGGAGTGGAAACCTAGAATAATCAGTACTAACTAACTTCGTTTACAATGTCCAATGTATTGTTTTTACACAGTATGTGTAAAACAAACAGTTTACACAGTTTAGATCTATGAACAAGGCACGAAATGGAAAAGAATCGGCGACAGGCCACATCAGGCCTACACTTCAGTGCCGACATCACTATGTTATGTTATGACTACCTCTTTCAATGAGACACGTGTCAAACCTGAATATTGCAAATAATTATGAACATACAAGATTTAGACGCTGCGTAGCCACCAATAATATGAAAATATGACTACGTTTTAATCCGATGTGCCGCGTTGAAATATTTTAAGCTCACAATCTTTTGCAGAATTCGTGTGTGACAAGTGTCTCATTGAGTGAGGTAATCATAGAATAGTATAATTTTTCCAATCTGCTGGGTTTGCGAACCCGCAACTCACTCCTGCAATCTTGCCATTCTAAACCACCAGGCCACAAATACATTGGACGAAAACTCCAGCCAGTTTTAACACTAACATACACAATGGTGGTTCCTGATATAGCAAGCCAAGTATAAAACTATTAAACATGATGAGTATTGATATTTCAAGCTAGGAATGGAATCTAAAGCACTAGGACAGTAAATAAGATGCGATATCAAAATGAAAAACCGTTTGAATGAAACAAGGTAAATAGCATCATAATTTTAATACTGCAAAGCTTATTACTACGGGATACAAATGAACGGACGTATGATAAGCTGTAGTCATTGTATACTGAGATCCCTATCAGCCGCCAGCCAATGCCCCTGAGTAACTTAGTGCGCTGCATTGGAACGTTCGCATCGTGGTCAATCTAACCATTCAGATGTTCCGCGTCCAACGATAGAAATATTTAATTGTAAACAGATTCAGTAAGACATACGACACTTTATGCATTGTTTTCCTGAAATATAGAGCTCCTCAAAAATCTCTTGATCGTGTTAAAATTTGAGCGCACGCACAATTTCCATTGATCCAAAATAATGAAATCATACAATAACGTAGTTTTTCCTTCGTTCCACTGCAGGAATTTAGAAGAATTCTTCACTCAAGAGACATGTCAGAAAATAACTACTGAAAACTTCACGTACTTCATGACTTGCCATCACAACATAAACGCACAAATCACCGCCCCATCCAGTGATCATTTAGTACTAATATTAAAAAATGAAACGTACATAAATTGACGAGTTAATTGCATAACTTTAACAATTATGCACGAAATTTACACTCCCAGCTATCATTCCTGAATTATTTACCCGATGACGTTAACCAATCGCAACCTTTGCAAAAAAGTCATTAAAAAAACATAGGAACAAATGCTTCGGCATTACAGAACGCATTATAACATTTTCTGCAGGCACATATTTGTAATTTTATTCATGCCTATTTGTTAAATTGGTATGACACAAGCCCATTTGAATTGTTATCACACAATACCATACCAATTTAATTAAATTGACAAACAGAGAAAAACTACACAAATTGATATCACTCAACTTGGCGCAGCAGTTTTATTAGTGTAATTACGAAAAAAAAAGAAATATTTTCAGCGAAAAAAATATTTCAGTGAACTCCCGGGTCTGGAATATTTCAGATAAAAAATCCCGAGCAAACGTTCATCAAGCCGTCGAAACGTGTTGGTGCGTAAGAAAAGATCAATAAAATGTAACAATAATTCCCATTACGGTCTTGCTGCTCCTTGTCGTGTCTGCAGACATTGTGAACACAAATACCAAACGCATGACGAGATCCAATGCACTTATTGATAATACTTAAATGAACAAAACTCAACAAAAGTATTCTAAGAATCACAGAGCATTTCATTACAACAACCAGCAAATGCTGTCGAGCGTTTGAAACTAAACCTTAAGCACTAAGAACAACGTCATTAAATATGATGAAACTTATCAGTGGAATACTACCATAAGGGAGGTACTCGAGATATCTTTGGCAAATGTACTGAGCAATTATTCTCTTGGGACTTCATCATCTTCTCTTGAAACTAGCTTACGATGCTTGAAAAGAACTTAACAATAGTTAGAAGTCATTCATGCACTAATCTATTTAGAAGAAGGAAGAAAATATTTCACCCAAAAGCGCACTTTTTTTTCTTGTTGTAACAAACCTTTTGATATAAACATCAGTTTGGAGATGTAATTAAATTTTTGAAGACGTAGATATTTCAATTTAGAAGCCATATCTTATTTGTTGATATTTTATATTGTTGATTTGATATTGACTTTTTCTGCAACTAGCAATTCCAAAAAACTGAAAACACCGGGTTAACCTTGAAGTTAATTAAAACTCAACTGAAAAAAAAATCTATGCAAAATTCTACACATTAGGCGCTCAAGGCTAAAAAGTTAAGAAACATTCGCTACTCGTAAGACGCAACGCTATGAACTCTACAAAATATTATAACATACAGACTCGCAGCCTACGACAGACAATCTGCTTAGAAACACCAAATAAAAAATGTACACAGGAGAACTGAATACTGTAGTACTTGGAATGATGTGAAATATACTAACATCGTTATAATAACTCAGCTCAAAAACTAACTAGCCATATTGCGGTCTACAAATAAGTCAACGTCACATGGACAACAAAGTTGCTGGGGGTCTAACTTGCTGGGGTCTCACAAGTTTAAGCACTAATCTAGATATGAATTTCTCCTATCCAAGATATACTGAGACACAAGCTTTGTCACGACACAAGATAATAAAAATCAAATGAAAGTATTGATCAAATTGGGCATCAAAGAAAAAAAATTCAAGTTTTATCATAATTAGGCGCAGTAAGGTCTTAGAAATTTATACATATCCGAGATATGTATTAATTATAAGAGCGTCAACAATGGATGAATATCACTCGCGCAATGTGAGGTGAGCTATCTCGCCCGGTAATTTACATTCGCTATTAATTTGCAATGTCCACATAAATAGCAGCAGATGCAAAATTAAGGTTAAAATTATTTAATGAACCTTAACCGTGCGTATGACTGTTTATGAACACAGGCGTGATAAACAAAGTAGAATGTTTGGAATAATTTAAGTTTTTAATTGAAAATTAATTTAAGTTTACTTTTTTTAGTTTCGAGCAGCTTGCGAGGATTGATAACACTATCTCTTGACTTCGAAGTCGTGCTGGAATTTAGTTCTCAGTACTCGCCTGATCGCACGCACATTGTACTCCCAGTCAAGAGGTAACAATAACTAAATTAAAATTTTAGTTACAATAAATAATTATAATTTCGTGTCCCGTTGAAGGCTGAAGTAACTAAAAATGAAAAATTGGTTACATGGCAAAGCTCATCTCAATCCACTTGGGTAGAATATAAAGTCTTAATATTTCATGCACTACTAACCTCATGCTACTTTCTATGCATACGTTTTGGCACCAACAACGAAGTCGGTATCGCGAGTTTGGCAGGTTTCCTGTGGTCCTCAATGGATGGTTTCTTTTCATTTTGCTTGCCATTAAGAATTAGAAGAGATGAAAAGGGCGCGAAGACCCAAGTGCAAGTGCAGACAGATTTCCAGCCTCGAATAGGGCGACAGCAGAGAAATTGAATGAGACTTGAAAGAATTCTAGTAAAATGGCGTAGAGAATTGAGATTTATACTTGAAAATGGTTTCGGATTAATATAAGGAAGATCAACAATAGAACAGTTACAGGACAGTGGAGGCGATTGATAAAATAGCACACAATCAACAGTTCTCGTGGCAACTTTTTTTGAAATATTCTAGTAGAGTCATTAGAGGTGCGCTATGAAGTCAAAGAAGTGATCACCAGGAAAAGATTGAATGAGTTATGATGAAAAATTAGTTCTCCAAAAATGAGATCTTTCAATATGGGAAAAATTACTTGTACAAAATAATTAGGTTGGACAATAAAGTATACACGGACGGACATGGCATTGTCGCTGGGCCAGCATCGTGCTGCTGCAGTTCAATATAAGAATACGTACGCCCAATATATTCAACACCTTACTTAGATTCATGAGTATTCATTGATCACCAGCAAGTTTTAAACAGTTACACTTCAAGACACCCGCTTTCATTTGATAGTTGACATCCAGACACGAGCGCGGTTCATACTTCCCTAAGAAAATTCATGAAAATGATAGAACGTTTCAGGCGTTGGGATGAAACACACGCTTGAGGTTGTACCGTATACACGAGAGGCCTCGATTGTGGCGTCATCACTAACGCCTCTTTATAACCTTAATATAGCGAACACATTCTGAATAAGTAAAGAAACGAGCCAATAATTATCATTAAAGCGAGCACTAACCTTAGGACGCATGCACATGACGAACATGCGTGCCGAGTTACGACGTATGTGCGTATAACTAAACGCCCGCACAAAGCGAACAATAAATATTCTTACAACAAACACAATTATCAAATAAAATTGAAGCTCATGTGTTGACGTACTGGTTTGAGGTTTGTCCGGTTCAAAGGATATCATCATCACAAAATTTGGTGGTAGCAGAACCAGCCACAGATTTATAAACGTTTCATGAATATGATATGAAGATCAGAGAAATATTCTCTCATGTTCAGGTAAATGTTTACTAACACATCAGCAGTAATGTGCTAGACATGAGCAACAAATTAGACATGCTAGCGCAAAATTCATGTCTTCATGAAGCTGGTACTACACAATACACTAAGCTTCCAACAAAGTCGAGAGACGTGTGTGGAGTTCGTAGATTTCAGCAAGACCGAACAACAAGTAAAAGCAAATAATAACTATGGATACATTTTGGTATGCTGGTATTGATGCAGCCATCAAGACGGCAATTGAGCAAGTGATGCAAGACCAGTGAGAGGTGATCCTGAAAATATGACGTTTACTGTACTCTATATATGTCAATCAATTATCAACATCAGGAAGCAAGATTTACGGCTTTGAAAGATTCACCACTGAATGCTGAAGGCAAGAAAGTGAACCTGTACAGGGAAGCAAATTATTGAGGAGTTAATGCAAATAGAGCAGATGAAGCCTATCTGCTCTCAAATAAGATTCATCATCACCAAAATGCAGTAAACTGAAATTCAAGCCGCCCACATTCTGTTCCATTGCACAGAGCGTGTAAAAACAATTCAGCGGGAACAATAGTGAGTTAAATTTAATTTTCATGTATAAATGCACATAGATTCGTTTGCTACAACGTCTCACTGATGATGGGCTTGACGAGGAACATATTTTCAGCTCCTTTGACCGGCAGCTTGTGGATGGAATGATGGTGGACGATGTGCGGCACCGAAGGGAAGAGCTGATCTCCACGCCCCATTTTGAAGCCGTTTGCCTCGCTGTGATACTGAATCTTGAGGTGCATGAACCCAGAGGCTGCCTTAAGCGCCAAGCTGTACTCCCACCTCGGTGTGTCAATGGACCGTACGAGGTACGCCCCTTCGGTTTCACAGCGTAAAAGTTTCTCAGCCTCGCCTTTATTAATTTTGCCGTGATACCAAGACTGCTTCGTCAAGGGTACCGAGACATCAACCTCCTCGCCGGTGGGGGCCACGAGTTTATTAAAGCCCCCGAGGTCGAGCACGAGGCTGCCGCGTGCGCTGAGGACGGCTTTACGCGGCGTGCCTTCAATGCTGCTACTGGCGGAAGACCCTGCCTCCCAGAGACTTGAATTTGAGGAAGAAGTGCCGCTCTGAACTTCACACGCCTGGACCCGCGATATAGCGGGGTTACACACGGAAACAAGTCCTGCAGGGGTTTGTTGTTGCAGCTGTTGTTGTTGTTGTAGGCTGCTGCCGCAACTCGCGAGGGAAGAGTCGCTGTTGGAGGGGCATGAGTGAGCAGCTGCTAAGCGGCGCCGTAGTTTCGGCATATCAAAAGGCAAGTCTTTGAGGACGTTGCTGCCTGAGGACTGATGGCCGTATTCGATGCTGATGCCGCTGTCAGACTCACCGACATGCCCTTTGTTGCCCGACAGAGGACCTGAAAAAAAAAAATATATTAACCTGGAACACATTAAAGAAAATATCGTAAAGAAACACAGTGCAGTGCATATTTCTTTAGAATTTTCGGTAGGTACATATTCTTTCTGAGCTCACTATTTGACAATGAAGTATAATATGTGCACAACTGGAAACTTGAATTACTCAGCAATAGTACTGCAATTTGAGATAACTTGTCAGATTTATTTGGATATAATTTGACACAAAACTCAACATTTTTATACTTGGTGAGTACTATTTCTTGAAAACCACAAGCGTTTAGGCTTATGATTTGAACCTAGAATGCATTGAGCCCACCAGGTATGATGTGGTGAATGTTACGAAAGTCTTCACTGATGTTGCGACACTTGAGCGGGGTCTGCTGCAGAAGGTCTTGAGGGGAGGTGTGCTGGGACCCGCCCCCCACAATACCCATCCCCCCCACGATGGGCCCTCCAGTGTCGGTGCTGCTCGGCTCCTGTGACTTGTCCGAGATCGGAGACAAGATTTGGAACTTGGCCGACTGTGGAAACCAAATAAAATATTAGGACCTGACACAGAACTTCCCCGGAGATTCTATGACGATTATCACATGTCAATCCAAAATAGGTTTATTCTTGCAATCACGAAACTGCACTTCTTAGTGGCAGGTTTCTGTGGAATTTACTCACAATAAGATAAGAACCAGTACAGATTAGTTCAACTCCAGCAAGAATGGTCAGAATTTATTTCGCAGTGAGAATGGAATAAGCTGGAATGCCACCTTCTTTACGGTAGAAAGGTGACTGAGGTAAAGCTTGGTACAGAAACTCAACTTTACCATTTATTATCTCCTCTAATCTTACCCTAATGCAATATCTTGGCAATTATGATAACTACAATGGAAGTCTTCATGCAGTTGCAAGGCTTTATATCGCACCTGTATCAGAGAGCGATGAGTAGCTGGAAGCAGTAGGGATGGCCGTAGGGGTAACGAAGAATTGCTACCCATGTTCCTCCATCCCACAGCACCAGCCCCTTCACTAACGCTGCTCTTGAGGCTCTCCATGCTACTCGTCCCACTCGCTATGCTGTCTAAGCTAAGGCTGGAGGTCTTAGCCCCAGCGTGTGGAGGCATGCTGATGCCAGACTCAGACGCAGTATCTACAAGTACCTCCATGGACGAGTTAATGCTCGTCTCGCTATTGGTGGCGAGAGCTCTAGCACTTGAAGGTGTAGTGGTGGGGCGTTTCTCGCCCTCGCATCGAGTGCTCGAGGAAGATTTCTTCACACGAGATTTGTAAGGTGCGCGGTCGGAGCTACTCGCATCACTTGAGCTAGACCGACTCTGACTGCTCCGTTTGATGGGTAAACTAAGATCTTTCTGTCTTGGCGGACTGAACCAACTGGACGGACTTCGATCAGAAAGCGGAGGCTTCTTAATAAACTTAACAGGTAAAGGAGCAGTACCAGGAGGGCTATGGAGCTCAAGAGGCTTGAGTTTGGCCAAGCCTTCAGAGCGCTTCAGGTCCCGGAGGCTAGACTTACCAGACGGAGACACTCTGGAGGAGCTGTAGCCGCTGGCGGACGGTTCATCAATGGACAGTTTACTTTTACCCTGAGAGTAAGAGGCAGGAGAAGCAATAGTAGGGGCGCTGCTGCAATCTGCAGGGCCCTGTAGCACACGTGCAATGGCGGCAGACGTGCTCAGAGTTGAACGAGCTGAACTACACATTGTTAAATTATATGCATCAGTATTGGCAGAAGCTGTAAGATGAAGTAAGCGTGGACTTAAGAGAGCAGTTTGGGGGGCTCTCGTGTTCCTGCTCTTTAGGAGGCGAGGACTAGGAGTGTTGAAGGAGTGCCGGATATTGGGACTAGCACAAGAGCTGTGAGTGCTGAGCTTAGGGCTAGGGGAAGCACTGTAAGACAACTGTCTCGGACTAGAAGTCTCACTTCTAACGTGAAAAATTTTGGGGCTAGGTGAAGCAGAAGATGCGTGTTGCAAGAGTGGACTGTGATGCAGGCTGCTGCTGCTACTGCTGCCGCTACCGTGCAGTAGGCGGTCATGGTGTTGCATTCGAGGGCTGCTCACGTTGGGATGGTGAAGAGCTAATATGGATGAAGAACGAATAGAAGAAGCACCACGTGGGGAGGCCACATCATTTTGATTATACTTGCTCAGATTATGATGATCATGATGGTGATGGCAATTATCATTGAGACAATCCCATGAGCAAGTTGCATCATTTATCCTGCTATCTACACTCAAGCCTCTCTCGGCAACGCCTTTCCGACTCATAAAACGACGCGGTTGATTAGGTAAGCACTCAACCACCTTCCTTTGGAGCCGACTGTCCCGCCCACAGGCTGACTCAACGTGACAAGAGTGAGCAGATCCTTCTGAAGAGCGCCTATTATTCTCGTCAGCGTTGAGGTGCAGAGTGATTAAGTCCCTGGCAAGGTCCTCAGCTTGTCGTCCCTCAACATAATCCTCAAAGCAGTCCTCGTCATCAGGCGAGTCTGAGACTCGGTTGAGGATTTGGTCATCACTCTTGCTGAGGCCGATGGGCCGCAGGGAGGAGTTCAGGAGGTGATGGGAGGACAGCGAGCGAGGCGGTGGGCACACGCGAGCGCGGGCACCGCGTCGACCACACCGGGGCGTTCCTGAGCCCTGAAATAAGACAATGGCCTTTGGTAATCGAAATGAGAATAGTCCTGTTAGCCCTACAATAGATGCCATCCACAATACAGCTTCCTGAATCTTCAGACAATGATCTTCAGTAATAAAAATAGCTAATGTTCTTTAAACTCCATAATACAAATTTTTAATAAAAATAGATGAACATTGGAAGAGAATGAAAACCATTGGTAGTAACACCATAGAGTTAATTGATAGTATAAATAAAATGAAAAGTACAACTCTCACCTGCTCATCTAATTAGATTCTCATTAATCATAACTTTCATAATTGAAGTACTATGCAATATAAAGATGATATCTGATCCCATTGGTGTCACAAGCATAATGAATACGTGCCGTCGAAGTTTTTGTACTGTGATCAAAGTTGTACTACCTAACCAAAAAAATAAAAAATACTAACATGTAATTCTTGTATTTATCTAGCATATTTTTTAGCAAATAATCAACTGTTAACACCAATAAAAGTTCATAAGAAACTGTGTAAATTAATGCCTGGAGAATTAAGGCATCCTACATAACAAGCAAACATTATAACAACTCAATTGATGAGTGGTGTTGTATGTTAAAATCTTACACCCACCTTGTAAAGCTCATTACATTAAGACAATTAGAGCTAAGCTTGGAAATTAACTATGAACTTCAGTACCGAAACCGGTACAACAAAATTTTAGAGTCAAGCTCACTTATTTCAATAAACCCAGCACAACCCATCAGAAAAACAATGAGCTAAAGCTGCCAATAGCTGTTAAAGCAAAAACAAAACTCTAATCATAATTACCCATAGACTTCCAAGCACTAACTAAAGGAAACCTATCAGTAACAGGGCAATTTCCAAGCCTTCCCATCTATTAAAATGTTAATTATGGAAATTATACTTCAAGCTTAGCAGAAGTTGACTTCCAGAGAAGAGAAAAATTTCCTACATTATAAGCACAATTATTAGTATTCATTTTTCAAAATAATTATAACAATCAAATGGGGTGACTTCAGCCACCGGGGGTGACTTTGGCCACCACAACACAAACAGGGGGTCTCTTGTAAAAGTGAGACCAGGAAACCACAAGAACAACAACAACAACAACAGAAACAAATGGCAGCAATGCAAATAAACATTGGCCAAAGTCACCCCATTTGACGGAACCAAATTTAAACCGGGAGAATATATACCTATAACAAATCTTTTCTATGGCATTCATGTAGGTGATATGGTAATTCATTCTTAACCTACAAGAACATGCTAAGATATGGAAAAGAAACAAACAGTACCTGGAACTTAGCCTTTGGTAGCACAGTTGTAGGGCATGGGCTGCGCAGCAGGATGGGGTTGTCATGATGGTAGGCATAATGTACTGAAGATGGCTGATCAGAAGTTTCAATGTTGAGATTCTTATCATGAGGAGTTTTCTGTTTGCTTGAATTATTGTTGGACTGTCGTGAGCGCCGGCGAGGGTTCAGCAGAAGCAAGATGGGGTGGTTGGCAATGCGGTCTAACAGGTCGCTGCTGCCTTCTTCCAGGGGCTTTTCCACCTGCACATCAGTGATTTCTAGGATATAAGATATATGAATATTTGGCAAAACACACAATCCTTGGCAGCACACAGTAGATATGAACTATTTGATAATTATGGTGCATTTGAATTAAGTGCACTTGTAATGGTTCTAGTAAAATATTATACATCAAATGAAGTTTAAAGTATCGTATATTAATAAAATGTAAGGGCATGCTATAGAAAACAGCATCCAAGTGAATAGATACAAGTTGGGCACAAAGAAGTTGTAATAGAATAAACGTGTACAATTTTATCAGGGTTCTAATAAATAATGCCAAAAATTTATATTATATCAAGTCTATGAATAACTACATAATGTCTACAGGAAGATAGTATTCATATATAGATACATATTTAAATTTGAAATGCAACAAGACCTTACCTTGCTGTCAAAGGCAGTCTCATAGAGCCGCCGTCGACTGCGATGAGCCATTGCATGCTGCAAACACTGGACTCCTGTAAAATAATACAGTTATAAAATGGGAATAATTACTGATGATGTGTATGTGGGATAACATTGTCTCAGATGACACAGTGATAGGAAATTTAGTCAACAGATTTTCAGCTATTAGGGCAAAGCATGTAAATAAATTTATGAGTAAATAAGACATGACATGTTATAAAACAGCACCAGAATTGAAGATAAGTACCCTATCAAAATTTGGCGAGCCTGAATTAGGAACCGCCTAGGACTCGGACCGAACGTAAATCAGCTTCTCTATGTCCGCTTTTTGGTCTACATTCCGATCCCGATTCAGACGGCTACCAGAGCCTGGTGAGGGGACTGAGAGGATTCTGCCAACTCTTGCCCTACTCTCAGGAGACCATAAAGTCGGCCAGGAGGTTCTGACTAGACGCTGATAGCGATCAGTTGGCCAACTGACCCAGAATAACTTTGCGCCGAGTGTAGTGACTATTCGGCCGAAGCCTAGGCGGTCCCCGAATTTTGTTAGGGTATAAGCAAAATAAGTATATATATATGAACTTTTAATCAAATCATAAGATTCAAAAGGATAAAAATCTATACATATAGAAGGTCATAAAAATGATAGTGATTAAGATGTAATAAATGCCTTCTTATTGCAGACAAAACATAATTCATCTATTGATAATTGAATAGAAAATTGCTATATGTTATTACTTTCATACTTAACTTACCTTTGAAAATACTTGCAATTTATCACAAGGCATCTTGAAGAACAGCCATCAGATGTCAGGAGCACTGCCTCGAATTCCAAAGCCAAAGCATGTAAAACTGGCTAATAACTTCAATTTCTCATTCAAAATTTGAATAATTATAAATGGAAGCAGAAATATATATTTTGACAAAAAAATTGTAAATTTTTATTCTCGAATTTTCCAAACAAAAAATTGAATTGTGAATATTAGTAGAAAAGCAAGCAAGAAATCAAATTTTAGCTCAATGTTAAAATACAATAATATTCAAAAGAGTTGAGCAGCAGCAGCAGCCAAAGGTAATTAAGGGATAAGCAAGCATCTCTGAAAAAAATTAGTCAATAGTTGAGCACCAAGCATCATAATGGCAAACCAAAGAATTTATAGAATCAGTTCATTACTATTTCCTTGTCTACTCAATATTTTAATCAATTTATTATGTATGATAATACTGGTATGCAAAATACTTGCTAGTCTACTACAGCAATCCCTTGATTAACGCGGTTAATAAATCCCTGAGTTTTACCATGGTAAGCAAAACCGCGCTAATCAAACTTAAGAATATATGGGAATAATTATAATGAATCCTCAAAAATAGCATAGGAAAGGAAAATTATGTAGTTTGATAAAAGTGAGCAGTAGATATGGCAGTGATCTTGACCAGTTGAAGGCTAACAAGTAACTAGCCCTTTATGCACTGAATTATGTTTCAAAAGGGAAAAAACAATCTGAATTACTTTTCAGATCACGCTCAGTCTTTGTGTTGTACTGGCAGTAGCGGAGCGCCTACTCCATCGAACGTTGTTCGAACGAGTTCACAACATGTGACGCTACCGTCACACTCGCGGCTAGACTCCAAACATGTAATTACTCTCGGTAGAAGCTTTTATTTTCTGTGTGATAAATTCGTCACACCAGGGCTTAAAGGGCTAGAGCACCGGCATGGCACACTTACCGGCGAACGTTGCCGAACTCGATCATTCGAGTTATGAACGAGACAAGGCGCAGTTAAACCGACTCTGTAGTCAGCACGAGTGCCTACGGAATGGGACCTTATTTAAAGAATTATTGGCTGAAATTCATAAAGTAACAACATTTGGCAAATTTTTCCAAAAGTCGTAACAAAAGTAACAACATAAGATCTAATAAGCAAAAAGTAACACTTTTGTTACGAACGTAACACCTCTGGCTAGAGGTGGGAAAATGATGCATTGTGAAAAAAAGTCGCGCTAATCAAAACTGGCACTGCGTAGATTAAGGGTAGGTCGCAAATTTCTTTTCCGTGTTAATCAAAACCGCGGTATTCAAAACCGTGCTAATCAAGGGATTGCTGTAATAGGACTCAAAAATGAACTTGGGGAAGGGCAACAAATAATGTTCTCCTTTGCCACTAAAACCCACTTTGCTAATCCCTTTGTCTTGGGCTTATAATTTATCATAATTTATCATCAATACCACTAAGTAATGTTGCCACAGCAGTGCACATATGGCTGTGCAGCCTGTGCTCCAGCAGCCAGCCTTCAGTAGAAATTATGTAACTACTTTGTTAAAAAATTTGAGTGGCAACTTTCTGGCATGATCCAAGAAGCTTCTTGCCATAAGATAGCACAAACATTTGAAGTTTTGAAACAAAGAGGAAACACTTGGACAGAGAGAAAATTTAGTTAGTCATTATAATAGCTAAATATAATTTAAAATTTCATCTTCTGATCTTCTTGTTGATGTAGGTATGTAGTTACCCTAATAACATAGGCAAAAGCTCCAAAACTATATTTGCATAAATAATAAAGCCATAAATATATAATACTAAATAATAAGCTACTCCAGTATTGATTACATAATTAAAAAATAATGAACAGATTCATGAATTCACTGTTCAAAACTTCAAACTAAATAATAGATGCCAAAAGTTTAGCCTAAAAGCCAAGTGGCAAAAGCCCTCAACAGGCTCAACTAAGGCATATCTTTTCATAATTTATCACTAGAGGTGTTTATAAGGTGTACACATACATTTTTAACACAATTAAGAAAATAATAGTACAAAGCCATCAAACTATGCAATGAAATCATTAAATGACTTCATCACTTCAATAGCAGCAACGATTCAGCAAAGCATAAAAAAAAGTCTGCTGAGTGCTCAGAGTGCTGGCAGCCACCAGCCACCTGCCAGTGCCAGTGGCCGGGCTAGCTCTGCCCACGGTCCACCCAGGCCCTGTGCTTCTGAGTTCCGGCCCATGATAGCCTAGGTAGTAGGTAATTGATTACAGAGCATCGCCATCATGACTGGCCCACTGGCAATAATGATGATGGCAATAGATTAGTCGGCACAGTGACAGAGGCACACACTAACACCTCGATAATTTAGGAATCTATGGAAACAAAGAACTTGAAAGAAGTTAGGCTACCACTGTTACGTCTGTCTAGACTCTAGGTAGTCTAACTAAAACGACTTCTCTACGTAGCGGTAGCAGTAATTATCAGTCTAGACTCTCCGAGTTCTCAACGACATTAATATAGAAGCGACATATAATATATCATCAATACCTGGGAGGCTGGTTGTCTCTTCTGAATTAAAAGAAGAACAGAATGCCACAGATACTGATAGCCTAGTGCCCTAGTAGGCTAGTCGGTTCGTTTTTTATAAGATTTAGTCCCGACTCCCGTCCGAACTCCGAAAGATGTCGTCAATCAATGTGTAAACAAACGTCTCAGATATAAGTTAAATAATTATTATATACTATTTTTTACTACTATAATCAAATACCCAATTAAATCTTACGAAGGGTAATATTTAGGAGCATATGTGAAAATTAACACCATTTTCAACAGACACAACGATGCTCTCGGACTAGCTTGAGTTATCGACGAACCCAAGCCATGTATGAGTCACTCCAGCAACGTTCGGCGCGATGACGTCAGAGACTAACGTTTTTTTCGTAATTCTAGGAAACAATGGCAGTGAACCAAAATTCGTATTTCCATAGTCGATTAGACTAAAATATTATACAATTTAAAAAAAATATAAAATATATATATAACATGCAATTTTTAGAATTTCAAAAACTTGAATGAAATAGTTCAAATTTACATTTTTCAACACTCTAAGTTGAAGAATATTGCAACAGGCCGAAAACGAGCTCATGGTTGGAAAACGAGAATAGTTCATGAATTAAATACGAGTTTAACCAACTCAAATTTGTAAACAAAAATAATGTTATTCAAAAGTTATTCAGACCCGCAATAGTTACAACAATGGTTTAGTAAGGTGTCGTTTAATGAGGTGAAAATGTTGCCCTTCCTCCTCGCCAGTGCCTACTTTGTACAGTAGTTGCGTATGAAGCGGTTATGATGATGGAGCCTCACGAGGGCGATAAAAAAGTTGTTGAAAATTTGCGACAATTTGTTGAAGAAAGGAATCTCCTCAACGTAAGTTCTCTTAAATTCACCCAAAATACTTGGTAATTAGCGTATTGGCGTTCATTTCAATAATTTTTAACGAAATTAACGTTTCAAACCCTTTTCTTAGGAGCGGCTAGCACTAACTCGCAGAAAGAAAGCCGAGTGTCTCGAAACTCTGTCGCAGCGAGTTGCATGTATTTTTTTGACAAAATCTTTTCCAGCGAATCAGCAGGTATGTACCAAACGGGCATATGCTCCTATCTTAGTAGTACCATTTTTTACTAACATATATTTTAAAAGATATTGTCATGCTACATATTTTTCGACTTTTAATTGACTTTTTTATAGCTGCTTTTACGTATTCCGTAATTAAGTTATGTTATCTTACTGCCTAAGACCTCGTTTCATTACTATATTGTCCAGTTAGAGCCCAGCAGCTATCCTAGCATACGGTGTCGCTCTCATTCAATTAATATTTACGATCTCAGGCTGGCGATGACGACGGACCGTGGCTACAATGCGCAGCTAATGGCGAGCCAAGTTCTGAAACAAAAACCGATATTCTCTGCGCTGAAATAGCATCACTCAAAAAACTGGAAGAAATATTGAGAGCGAGTGTCGGCAGGTTGACGGCTGGCATTGAAAAAGGAGTGAATGTTGAGTGTGGTTCTGATGCCGCAAATAGTTCTATAAAACATGATTCTTTCCCCAATTTTAGTGCGAATGATAATTTGCAGGCAAAGCTTCCAGTACAAAAGCCAAATAGCGGTCATAGCGATGTCCATGCTTTAGAATCTTCAATTGAACGAAATTCTGGCACTGTACAGACTGAAAAAAACATTAGTACCAACGAAGATGTCAATAACCTTTTGATGATCGACTACCTGGCTGAAGCAACAGCGGCCATCATTGGAGTGAAACAAAACTCCGCGCGGAGTGGGTATAATATACGTACAACTTCTGCCACGGCATGTGGGACACTGAGCAACATGACTGGGCAGCAGCTAGAGGAGCGGATTAGGTTCCTCATGGAAGAAGAAGCGCCCAGAAAAAGGCGTATGATGGAACAGCTTGAGAGGTAAACAGGAGTTTGCTGTATTCAAATAAAAAATCTTCTCTCGTCGTTCAAAATAATTAGAAATAAGTGCGATATAAAATGAAAATTCTTTTTATAGAGCGATGGTAATTTATTTTTGTTTCGGCTTTCGAAATGAGTTTAGAAACAATGTTATTGATGCACAGGTTTCTAAACTTAATAAAACGATGAAGATTTCACTAAACTGTTGAAACAATAAAAAATTAGCACCTCACCTTCGACCCCCAAAATAGTTTTCCAACACATGGCATCATCGCGTGTACCTACCACGTTGAGCGCCTGACAGTGTTAGGATAAGTTATTAGTTAGCAGTTCAAGGAACCTCACACAGTTCCTACAAATTTATTATGTGTGTGGGGACAAATTCAAATCAACATATTATTATTAAACAGCCTGCGTACGATGTTAAGCACAATTATTTTTCTCAGTGAGCTACGCGCAGCTTCAGCACATCTGCACGCAGCGCTTGCGGCGTCGACGCGAGTTCGCGGTCTCGCCCCGGTAGTGCGCGCCTGGCACGCGCATGTCACGGCCCTGCAAGCCGCCGTGCAGGAACAACAGAAAAAATTCAAACATACCGCGAACTTCAGTAAATCTGCCCGGAATGAATTAACTGTAAACGATGCAGCACATTCGCATCGAAATAACGCAGTTGCTACAGTGGAAAATGGCGTCGAGATTGGTGGTAAAGATACCCAGAACACGGCAGCTCATTTGTCTATCAGCTCGCAAGTGAGTGGAAGATGTAATGTATTTGCTGCAAAGATAACAGAAAGTAATCAAAACTTTTTGAAGCATCATGGTAATCGTCATATATTGGTTTTGCCTTTTCGTAAGTTATTGAACTCTTTTTTTTCATCCTCAGAACTTTGAACTTTCATTCGCTATAGTTTAGGCTAAATCTCAACATCATGATATTCCCGGCTAAAGAATTTATTATTTCTCTTAATTTTCATAAGACGAATTTAAGTACCGGTACATATTTATTTTCAGGTGTCAAACAAGCTGACTACATCAGCGCACGATGAGCTGATGCAGGCGACCCGCGCTCTCCTGCTTACCTGCGCTGACATCGTCAGCGTCGCGAGGCAGCAAACTCCCGCTGATGAGGGACTCCCTTCATCGCATCCTGCATTGCCTGATAATTAAGTATATAAAGACGATGTTTAATCCATATCGCAGACAACCCTGTCTGTCATCGGCCGGGTTCATCAGTGGCAGACATTAAATAGAAATGTTTCGTACTGGCACTTTAATAAAACGTCGTTAGTGAGAACTATGAATGTTGCGGATTGAAAACGTTTAGAAAATCTATACAGTCTTTCAAATTAAAACGTTATTCATAAACTAAAGAGGATTTTAGTGTTCATGTTCTTGTATGATTTATTTGACTTTTACGTTGTTTTTCCAGGCCAGGCGAGATGTATTTTACACGAAATGCCGCCTCAGTCATTCTGTTTGTAGGAGCTATAGTAGGAGTGTGAACGGTTTTCAAAGTTTTCCACTCTATTTATTATTATAATGTTGATAAGTTGTGATAAATGATTAATCTTTGGCGCCTTATCTGTCTTGACTCAGAGCACACCAGTGAAAGTTTATTCAATTTGAAGCTTTATTAGCAATCTTTTCTATATCGCATACTAATAGCAGCATTAATCTCTAATTTTCTGCTATACCATATCACTTATGAAGAGCTGGCACGGCTGTCTTATTAAATAAAACATCACAACTTTGTTCAATAATCCTTTTCACAAAACATACTAAGGCTCGTGCTCAAGATGAAAACAGAATTTGCGAACAAATGGAACTAATTGCTCTTTGTTAAATAGTTTACTGATCCGCTGGAGATATTAGGAGGAAAACTGCACGAACAATTTGATAAAGTGCTAATTTTTCCGATTTTATTTACTTCAGCATATGTGTTTGAAATTATTGGATGCGATGACCGAAATTCTTGAAGTACGAATTCGTGAAATTAAAAGTTTATTTACTTTGAAGCTTTATTCGCAATCTTTGCTATATCGCATACTCATAGCAACATTCATCTCTAATTTTCTGCTATACCATATCACTTATGAAGAGCTGGCACGGATGTCTTATTAAATAATACATCACAACTTTGTTCGATAATCCTTTTCACAAAACAAACAAAGGCTCGTGGTGAAGATGAAAACAGAATTTGTGAAAAAATGGAACTAATTGCTTTTTGTTCAATAGTGTACTGATCCGATGGAGATATTAGGAGGAAAACTATACACAAACAATTTGATAAAGTGATAAATTTTTCTGCGTTTATTTACTGCATATGTCTTTAAAATTATTGGATGTGATGACCGAAATTCTTGAAGTCGTTAAATACGTTAATTTACGTGACTTACATATTCGTGAGTTACGTTTACGTAACACACATATTCATGAAGTAAGTATTCGTGGAGGTAGAACTGAACACGGTCACGTGTTGCTATAGCGCCGTTGCCAGGGACGCTTTCGGCATCAACAAGGCGAAGTGCGAACCATATTAGTATTTATGCCAAGTAATTGCGGTGATAAATGCGAGGAACAACCTCCAGCCAATGTTTTATGAACTGCCGAGTATACAATGTGTATGGAAGTATTGCGGCAATAAACTTAATCTGATGATATTCATACAATAGCTACATCGTTGCATCACAGTTATTTCTTAGTGTATCCGGTGCTCTGCTGCATCTCTGCATTAAACAAATTGTACAACAACAACAAACTATATAGTTATTGCTATTGAAAATTTGTGACTAGCCTTTCAACTTGGCACCTTTGCCCTGAGATACGCAATTTAGCACATTGTGCACGTTTGCCCCAACGTGTCGATGGTTATATCGTATATGAACGTGTCGGTACATCCATTCATCTAGTAAAAACCAATATGCAGTCAATACGTCGAAGTTGCTCCACAAAATGAGGCTTTTTTTAATCTTTTCAGTATTTAGTGATTCTGACGAGAATTTCATACTGTCTTTTTCCAATTAATTATCATTAAAAGACTTCAGTCAATAAACTTTGTTTCGCATAACTTCAAGTCAGTAGGAACAGCCTCCCTGATAGCATCGTTGACGCTCCGAGTATGAACATATTCAAAAACAGACTAGACGAAGCTATGCAGGAGCATATGTTCAGTCTTGAAATGCCTAGCAAATTACGGATCAGGCAATAAGTCCAGCAGCTATCTCAATCAATCGTCAGCTATGGAAAGATCGGGTTCCAAAGGCCGGATCCATTGTGAATCAAGTCACGAAAAGTTCAAGAATCGGCAACAGGCCATGGGCCTAATTCTTCAACGCCGACACTTCTATTCTATTCTATTCTATGTGATGTGATGGAAGCATTACCAGAAACACGAAAGAAGGTGGGTCACAGTTTGTCATAAATGCACAGTGTTCTGTATTTAAAGTCGTTTATAATTTTAGGAAAAACCTCTTTTTAATTCTTTTTGATCGAAACTGACTTATGTAGAAAATTATAAAATAAATTTCTCTGAAGTTTAGTGGATATTGCGTTGACTTGGTAGTGAATGAATTACGAAATAGGATGATTAATTTCTTTTTTCTAATCTGACCAGGGACTCAGCCATAAATGGCCTGAGAAAATTTCCAGTTTTTTACTATGTTTTTCTTAGATTCGCCTGCTGGTGACTCAACCACACAAGGAGAGCCGGAGAGTAACATCGTTCAGCGCGCACACGCCCCCACACAGCCGCGTGTGCTTTGCGCCGTATAGTGACACCAAACATGAGCACCTCCGCAGGCTGCACGACAAGGCTGTCCAGGTTGGCATGCACATGAAAATAACGTCTCAACGTCATCGTGATTCACGGCAAGTAATGTGGTTTGGTTTCCTGGGATAACTTGTGAATAACATCTCAACATTATGATCCACTGCCACCATTCGAAGTGGTATCCGCGTGGTAACAATACATAGAAAAAGCAAAAACGTGCTCTTTGAATAAGTATTAAAACATACTTTTGAATTATCTAGTTTCCTTTATATATAATTAACAACAATACATTCGTTGGCGACTTGCTGTATCATTAGCTCATATTCCATTATATAAACGTATGCATAATGTTGAAGAAAATAATGTCGTACAGGCAGTTCCGGTGACAGTGAATGCTAGTGGCCAGAGCGCACTAAGTGTTCCCTTCAGCCGCTGGGTGGCCACTGAACCTGCTGAAGTCTCCGCCGACTTGGCGGCAGCAGACGTAAACATCTCTACGGAAGTGGTCGACAGGTAAGCTTTTCGTTTACAAAAACTGCTGCAGTTTTACTAATACAGTGTTGGTTTAATACGCAAAAAACTGAGTTCCATCATTTAACTAATGAATAAACGACATAACTTCAATTTCTATATTTCTTTATTATCATTGCTTAATTTAACTTTTTAAAATAGTATTTATGAAATTTTTTTTTGTTCGTGACAATGTTTTGATGCAATCATTAGAGCGACTATTCATTATTAGCTGCATGTTGCAGTCCCGTTTTTCCTTGCTAACAACTATATTACAAACCATTTTATTTCTGTCCCCGAAAACTCCGTAATCTTTAGGAGCATGTGCCATATGTCATTGCATTTTGTCGTTTTATTATCAACCCTAAAATACTCACGTTACTTGTTAATCTGGGGTAGAGTTCTTCAGAGCGTTGAGGAGACGATCACCGTGGACGTGCCCAGGGACGACATGGGGAGCGTTGAGCCCCAAGACATCCTCCCCTCGAGGCCGGGAACAAAAGTCTCCATTTAGAACTTGGAATAGTTCCTCTCAAGTTCCCGCCAAGGAAACTTCTAAGCCGGAAGAAGTTTTGCCGGTTGCAGGAAGAGAATCAGCTATTCCGCGATATAACGAAATAGGTGAATTGAAATCAGTCATGGGTTCTTATCTGGAAAATTTATTTAATTTCAATGAATGTTGCAACCAAAAGAGGATAGAATTCTGGAGATGAAAAAGTTAGACAGTCCTCGAAAATAACTTCAATAAAATTTGAATCGACTTTTTCGAGTGGAAAGATCTCAACCGGTTGAAACATAAGGGTCAGGTATTATTACTTTTTGGTTCGGTGTTCGTAGAGAGCCAAACAGCCTTCTTTTTCGTCCAAACAGCCCTGAGCATATAGACGGAATTGTTCCAGTAAGGATTGCACCCCGTATTTTTGAATTGGCTCGTATTTTCAATGCACCTCGATATTCAACGTCGAATATGCGACTTTTTTAATAAAACAAATACTTATATTATAACATAAATTATATATGTATCATAAAACAAATTATAATACATAATTTGTTTCCTGCACATTAACAATCCTTACCTTCAGGTCAGGGTTTAGGGTTTTCACTGTACTATTTTTAACATTTCGTATCATTTGTTAACGGATGTTGCGAAGATAATATATCGACGGGGATGTTTGTTCTACTGCAGGCGCATCAAGGAGAACGGAGCCACCCGGCCCCTCTCATGGTACTGACTGCGACGTCAAAACTTCAGCCATTGATGCTTTAAAACTACAAGCAATGCAGGTGAGCACTATAGCATCATGCTTTCTCAGCAGGAAATCCAATATATGGTCATTTTTATCTCAGTTAATTATATGTTTATAAACTATGTGTAATGAGAAATTAAAGCAGTTTTTGTTATTATTCAAGTTTAAAATTTACTAACCGAAAACAATTGTTACAGAAAAAATGTTAAAAAGATTTCACGAGAAACGAGTGGCGGCTGAAACCTTGGAGACTCCATTGGAGACGTTTTTGCGGCGCCTGGAAATTCAAAAGCAACTTAGAACTGTAAAAACGCACGGCCCAGAAAAAAACGAAAAATGACGATAAATTGAAAAATACAAATATTAAAATATTTTATTATTTCCCATTGTGCTTGAACATGCTGATAGATTTGTACATCAGAAAATTTGCAACAACCTTTATTGTTGCTTTAGTTTATACGTATTGTGAGATCTCACCGTTTAGCTACAAGGTTCGCAACGAATAAAGTTTTTACTACATTAACGAAATTTTCCAAGGTATCACCAGGATATTCAAAACATACAGTGATGATTTCAGTTTTCTTTCTTAAATCTGGACACTAGAGGTAGGCAACCCCATGTTTCTCTGCTCTTTGGTTAAACAAGGAAAGGCAACCAAGGGAATGAGTCGGCTACGTTCTCACACCGCGTGGTAGTGTTGAAGTTTGGTAAAATCTGGATTGTGATTTGACTATCTTTGATTGTGATTTTATTGTTGATATTTTCGATCTGAGAAATGCTATTTCATTTTAGCATTACCACCAAATGTAAGTGCAAGCTACATAGGGACATATACATTTGTCATGAAAAGTCCTTAATTTAAAATTCATGATGGAATTAAATAATACATTTTGAAACCTTGACTGCAATATTACGTTTCACATATATCGAAACAATCAGATTAGAAGGAATTATTTTGGATGGTTTGAGTCTGGAGTGAGATGTGAAAAGTTGTCTATTTTCTCATTTGGAGCAAGCTCTTTTTTACTCAAATTTTCTTTGCATTAGTTTAAACATTAATAGGAATTGGTGTTTAATATGAGTGTGAACTCAAATCAAAATTCAGACCGCGAGCTCAGCGGTGTG